ATTATATATTACTGAGATTTACTAGGACACCGGTATCCCGGAAAATATAAAGAACATATTGTATGACTTTAGTGGATCAGCAATCAAATAATAATGACAATTTCAAATATTTTGATACTGTTGTAGTATTCAAGTCAAATCGATTTTAGTCGACTCGACAACGTCATCACTCATTTACAATATAATTTACAAGTTACCCCATCGTGTGGGGTATTGTTGAATAGGTCCCATAAAATAACTAAGGGTTGCTAAGACTTATTTTTGATTTGTTTATTTTTCGATTGACTTATTTCGTTTGCGAAACATTAAACTTTGAAGTGCTAATTTTTGTTTGGGTCCCCCTCTAAAAGCTTGAAAAATCTGATTAAGTTCGAGACAAGTGTGCTTTTCATGAAGTTTTAAGGAAAATTATAACGGTTCAGATAAATCAGTTTGTTAAAAAGTAATAATAATAAAAAGCCATTAAAAAGCCGTAAATTAATAGCCGTTCAACCTATTTAGTTCAACCTATATTAGAAAAATTTTAACCTAATAAAAAATCATTAGAATAACACATTAAAACTGACTTAGATATCTACGGAGCCCTACAGTGCCCGTGGCACGACCTACACTTGGCCAGTATTTTATTCTTTTAGGGAGTGAATTTCTTCTTAGCGCTCGCCTTCATCAGAATAACTATGTATGTACAAAATTTCAATGCAAACCAGTGGTTTGAGCTGTGCGTTGATAGATAAGTCAGTGAGTAACGGTTGCCTTTTATATATATACAGAGGAGTACCTATTGAGATGCGAAAATGAACTGATATATCGCTATTATAGATCACAAAGGTGAACAAATCTACGGCTAACACTTACCAAAATAGGTACCCATGTTAATGGAAAACCTGGGAAACTGTTCGCTAGATTCGTACAAGATAACGAAGCAATGCACGCGCGCCTTGCTCGAAACGACGTTACGAGCACTCGGGCGATGCAAATGGCCTGTAAATAAAATACGAGCGCCCCGGGACGAACGCGAGCACCGATCCAGCGCATGAGTAAAGAAGGTACAGACGAAAAGCTTCATGCAGTTTGCGAATGTGAGTGAGCACTGACGACTGTCGCGTACGCCGAAAAACCTTTCTATTGTAGTAGGGTAACCCAAGCGGAGGTTTTGGGATAAACTCGAGCGTGGCTGAATAACGAAAAGGGGTAACCTTGCGCTTTCTAAAGTACACTCACCATACCTAAGCCCTTAGTATAGGGTCGAACATCTAGGGCAACAAAAAAAATACAACAATCAGCCATGACTTTTTGCCGCGTCCAAATCGAGTCTTTTGAATAGGAGCTAGGAGAAGGGTTCACGTTTCTAATGACGGAAATATATAAATCTGCCGTTTTACGTGGTTTGGGGGTGGAGTACTTCAGAAGGTGCAAGGTTTTCTCCCCTCATATTATTCTGTCGCGCCCGAGTAAATCCTTATTGGTAGTAACGGCAGCTTACTCAACGGTAGTTACCAGCCGCCGCTACCCGTACATATTGCGTTACGCGAGCGAAATTAAAAACCCCTCTTCCGTAATATATCACAATTTGAATCACGTTTCATGACCGCCACAAATGTGACACCGCCAACGGATGCGAGCATTAACTTTTTTTATTAGACTTTATTTTGATAATGTTGTTTCGAATTTAGGACATTCTGGGGTATCATAAATAACTAAAAGCTCCATAAACTTGATAGGTAACTATAATATTTTGTATTGGTAAAAACTTACAATACCACATATTCTTAGATTTCAAATTACTTGTTAATTAGATATATTATTTATTTAACGCACACACCTATGTAATCAATAATAATTATATACCTGTTATGTCAAGCCTTCCAATTTTATAGCTATGATTGAACCACAAACAGCGTATACAAGAAATATCCCAGCCCCGTAAATTGGTTAGTGAGAGCTTAAGTTGATACAAATTTCCGAGCACATTTACCTTGAAGCTAGCTACTCTCTCAAATGACGAATGTATTTTATGTCGGCGACGTGATTCGGGTCGCAATTTGCCACGATTTCTTACGACGTACCTAATTCCGAACAAATAGAAACTTTTGGTGACTGTTTGGGATTATGACTGCGTCCTATTAAGGAAAGCTTCTATAAGTAACTTTGTAATGTACTTATATAAATAAATAGTAATAGCTATTTATTAATTCGTATTACTTCATAATGGAAAATTCGTATACTAAATAAATAGAGCCCATTGATAAATTTATTTGTATTCGATATTAAGTCACATCAGTACGCAAAAATATTACGTGTGTAGGTTTTATTAAAATCCAACACTTAAATTGAATTAGAGGCAAAAGAAAAACATTGAATTAGCAAACCACAAACTTTCTCAAGCCATGGACGCTTACAAGCTTGCATTGGGACAACCGTTGATTATCACAACCTATAAAGTCTTGTTTCCGGAAAATATCAATTTTCCATACAATAAGGCCAAAATGTCTACTTGTAAGTAATATTCACCGGTATCGCAAGAGTCCATACGATATTGTGATCGTTTACTTTCATCACATGGTCATATGCTTGTTTACCACTCCTATTACATAGTAGAGGGAATATATCATTTTCATTGAATTATGAAAATAAGATAAAAATATAAATGTTGTACAGTAAACTTGTTCGTTCCATGTTCTACTTATCCAGTCAAAAAAGACAAAAATAAGTCATAACTGAGGAATAATTCGCATAGAGCTGAAAATTGGCAGAGACGTTAAAAACATCATTATAAATAAAATGTCAAGAATCCCCTTCGATCCTACTTCTGCAAAAGATTTTCAAGGTCAAACGTACAAAATTAAGGTTTTTTCCATTTTTCTCGAAAACCGTAAGTTTTATCGTGAAAATAGGTCAGACAAAAGTTATAGTTCATAAAAGTTTCTACAAAAATGGTCCAGTCACTTTTTCTCTCACGACTCACATTCAAGACATTCGTGAGATATCGCTGTTTTAATAATTAGAAACTTCTTATTTTACATATTGAGTATGACTTAGTTGCTGCTGAAGCTAAGTACCACAATAACTGTTTTAATATCTTTCTGAGGCCTACTATGGGATATAAATCTGCATGGAACAATAAAACAGTACAGTGGTATTGTCTGCCTCCAACATCTGCTTCTGCTTCAACACTTGTATCACAAAAGGAGACGATGTTTGTAATTGTAAATGTTTGTTAGAAGTTATGAAATTTTTTGCAATGCCCTTGCAGGGCTCATGTTCTGAATCCTTATTTTAAATTTAAGAACCCATGTATGTACCATCATGAATCAATAAAGATTATGATTATGGTCGTGTATTTTATCAAGTTCAAGTGTGGCTGGGCAATGAGTTGGATCCAGAACGATGGGGTTGGAAATAAACAGATAATTATTTGTAGCCAATTTAAACTCTACTCCCGCCTGCTACAGAAAAACTACTTAATCCTATTTATTTGTAAATGCAAGACGGATTGTAGTTAGAATAGTGGCTGTATAAAGTGGGATTATTTCGTTCGCCAGTATGCATCAATTGTCAAGGTCAGACTTGCTCCAATATTGAAAAAAATACAACAGGTGAAAATATTTATGATATTATTGAAGAGACAATTGATGAATCCCTTTTCTTAGAACAGCGAATAGAAATTCTTCTTCAAGAAGAAAATGAAGACAAAGAAATAATTTTCGGAGAAGAATTAGACAATTATCTAATATAATAACATTTAGAAGAAAACAACCTATTCCACTTTTTTCATTAGCAAAATAACTATTCTTACAATGAATAGGATACGGTCTGATCAAACTTTCTTTATTATAATAGATCATGGAGTATATAACTCCTGGGGAAACCACGTTGAAAAAAATCCCAAGCCAAGATCATTACCTCATAGGTGGTGCAGAAATGTATGCATATTATGTAAAAAATGAATTTTCTAATTATTTAAACCGCGATATCTCACGAATGGTGAGTCGTGGGAGAAAAAGTGACTGTACCATTTTTGTAGAGAATTGTATGGTCTACAACTTTTAGCTGATCTATTTTCACGATAAAACTTACCGTTTTCGAGAAAAATGGAAAAAACATAATTTTGTACATGACGTTTTATTTATAACTAGCTGTGCCACGCGGTGTTACCCGCGGTTTATGAGGGATATTTTCCAGCATTCAAACGTAGCCTAATCTAATCCAGGGTGTCAGCTAACTCCGTACAAAATTTTATTAAAATTGCTCTCGCCGTTTAGACGTGAAGAAGTAACAAACATACACACACACCCACAAACTTTCACCTTTATAATAATATAGCTGACCCAGCGAACTTCATATCGCCATAAAAATATGGGTAGAGAGATGAAAATTAAGGGTTGTTTGTGTTTTTAATATTACGATGCATATTTAACGTAGTTTTTTTTTCTACAGACGATTTAATAATTATTTTGAACACAAAATCGTGTGTTACAAAATATCTATTTTATTACGGATCCCGAATTTTGAAAAAAAAACCTATAGCCTTCCTCGATAAATGGACTACCCAACACTGAAAGAATCATTCAAATCGGACCAGTAGTTCCAGAGATTAGCGCGTTCAAACAAACAGACAAACTCTGCAGCTTTATAATATTAGTATAGATGATCTATTTAACATCTCTGCCAATTTTCAGCTCTATGCGAATTATTCCTCAGTCAAATGTCTATTTTGTTTGGACTATTAATGGAATTTAAAATAATGTGATTAGAGAAAGATTGAAGACGATGAAGATCACGATATATCGGAAGTCAACTTTCAAAGTAGTGGCGCCGTACAATAAGGCGCAACACGCACGGCGCGACGCCACGGGCCAGTTTTTCTGAACGTGAATTATATATAAATATATAATAGCGGTCATTTTGCCTGCGCTTGTGCGTTGGCAATGTACCATTCCTTTTAGCCTGTCGCCCGCGGCGGTGCAATCAAGTATTTAAACGTGTGTGTCTTATTTCAGGATGAACTCGAAGACCGACCCCGGGCGGCGACATTCCTCAGCTCCCTGGCGGACTACTCGAACACCATTCCGACGGCGCCAAGCGGCGAGCCGGATGCAGTCAAGCCGCAGCCACCAGCGCGCATGGGCACCCTCATCGGCGTCTACCTGCCGTGCATACAGAACATTTTCGGCGTTATCCTCTTCATCCGTCTCACGTGGGTCGTCGGAACTGCCGGCGCTATACAAGGCTTCCTCATCGTCCTCATATGCTGCTGCACGGTAATCAAATGTTTTACTTGCCTATTCAAATGACTGCATATTTAATATTGTTTTAGTCAACTACTAAAACCAAACTATTGTCAAAAGTGTAGCATCATCTTGTTATGCTGTCAAACTTTATGTTCTACAAACCGCTTGGGATATGGTAGATTTGAAGTTTAAGTAATCTTTTATTCGTATTTTCAGACAATGCTGACTGCTATATCAATGTCTGCCATCGCAACCAACGGCGTGGTCCCGGCGGGGGGGTCGTACTTCATGATCGGGCGGGCGCTAGGCCCGGAGTGCGGCGGAGCGGTGGGCATGCTGTTCTACACCGGCACCACCCTCGCGGCCGCCATGTACATCGTCGGTGCTGTTGAGATCGTGCTGGTAAGTTTACCATCAGCACGTGCCTACCGCATGGATGGGACAGGGAGAAGGGGCCCATGATCCACCACGCAGATGCTAATGACCTCAGATGCAACTGAGACCAACGGCTTGGCATGCTTTCCGAAGCATAGAGGAACTCGGCGTACTACATTATCGGGCGGGCACTGGGCACGGAGTGCGGCGCGGCGGTGTGTATGCTGTTTTACACCGGCACCACCCTCGCGGCCGTCATGTACATCGTCGGTGGTGGTGAGATCGTGCTGGTGAGTTCACCATCAGCACATTTCTAACGCATGGACGAAATAGGGAGAAAGGGCTCATTCATAATCCACCACGCAGACGTTAATGTCCTCAGATGCAACTTAAATATGGAGCTCAAGTGTATGATGTGACCGGAATAATATGTTCCAATGCTCCACCAAGTGCGTGTTCTACTTCCATTTTGGGCAGGTTAAGGTAAGAGTTGAGCTCGTCGGATCACTGCCTGATATCTGCCAAAGCGCCACTGGCCAAGCCTCCGCGTCCAATGGTGGTGAAACGCCGGATCTGGCATTATGGTTCGGCAGATTGGGACGGTATGTGTGACTAGTTTGCGTCCGTCCCTTAGAAACAGCGCTGCTTCAGTGACAAGGGCCTATCGGCCAACGCCGTTGCCATTACTGAGTAGATTGTAAAGGGTATGGAATACTATATTCTTCATTCTAATCTCATCAGTAAGGGCACACGTAACCTCTCGTTCAATTGCGACTGTGCTGAAGTTGTTTCGCATAAACAAGCGGCATATAGTGCTTGGATGAGAGGCCGCGCTCTTAAGGATCCAGAGGTCGACTCACTAAAAGCAGCCTACAATTTTGCTTCCAAGGCCTGTAAGAAGGTTTACATCAGAGCGGATGCCCAGCGCGTTGCACGTGTTTGTCACGAACTAATAACGCATTTTACGGGCTCTTGTAGCTATTGGCGTTTGGCCAAGGCCGTGAAGACTACGCTTATAAGCCACAGGAGAAAGCTAATTTACTGGCAAAACTCTTTGCGGCTAACTCCCGAATAGACGATTGCAATGCACTGCCACTATCATTATCTCGTTGTGGCACAACAATATCTGATATTTAAAACAGGTAGCGTGAGGTTCGTGCCGAATTGTAATCACTCGACGTCCGGAAAGCTAGGGGACGTGATGGCATCCCAGCAGTAGTACTTAAAAAATATATAGCCTTAGTATTATGTAAAGTCCTAGAAAAAGTCCTTAACAACCGTCTGACCCGCTACCTAGAGGATCACTCCCTGATTAATGGTCGCCAATATGGGTTTAGACCGAAACGATCAACGGGTAATCTTCTAGCGTACTTGACTCATATCTGGGTTGAGGCTATCGACAAGCGGGGGCGAGTCGTTGCCTATCAGCCTTGACATTGCAAAAAAAACGAACCCGTCGTACGGCCACCCCTACCATGCATAGCGGCAGATTAATATTTTTCCGTCATCAAAAATGTTCCGTGACGTCCAGTAGCTCCTATTCAAAATTCTGACGATATGGTATGGCAAAAGTCATGGAAGGCAGTTGTTTTTTATATTTTTTTACTGCCCTAGACGATTTATTCTGTATAAATCGAGAATTCAAGAGATAAAGGGCCAGGTATGGTGGGAGTACTTCACAAGGTGCAAGGTTGCCCCACTTTTATTATTCTGCCAAGCTCGAGTTAATCCAAAAATCTCCGCTTGGTCTCCCTATCTCCCTTGCTATAGTATAAAGTAATGATTTTTTTGTTCAAATATTTACTTAAGCTTCGGGTCTGATGAGAAATAAATAATTGATTGCTAAAACTATGAAAGTGATATACACCAATTTTTATTTTTAAATAAAGTTAATCCCTATCAGAAGAAACATGTTTCTACTGTGTGACTCAATTACCATATCCGTGCTCTGAAAACTGCAGCACAAGCGAAAGTTTAATAACTCTCTAATGCGAATAATTGAGAAAATGCACATGCTGAATATACTTTAAAATCAGGTTGCTGCACTTTTCCAGTGACTCATATAACTCAGTTTTTTAACTTTACGCCTAATTAGTTGTTCAAATAAAAAGTAGGTTCTGCAAGCTTGTACTTACTGCGTTTTTTTGTGCTCGTATTTGACTGTTACTAAATGGAGTATTTATTAATTTCTAAACTCCAATGTTAATTCCGATTTCATTTAAAAATTTATTTTCTAACTTAAAAACGACATTGGGGTTAATCCTACTTTACTGTTAATCCTACTTTCTACTAACAAAAATAAAATAATAAGTATCATTGATTGCCGCAGACGTACATGGCGCCGTGGATATCCATCTTCGGCGACTTCACCAAGGACTCAGAAGCGATGTACAACAATTTCCGCGTGTATGGCACCGGCCTGCTGCTCGTGATGGGCATGGTCGTGTTCGTGGGCGTCAAGTTCGTTAACAAGTTCGCCACCGTCGCGCTCGCGTGCGTCATCCTCTCCATCACCGCGGTCTACGTCGGCATATTCGTCAACTTCAACGGGAATCATAATCTTCAGTAAGCTTATATTATGCTTATTTGTTAACTTTTATTACGTCATCAAATCCGACGCTATTACTCTTTCCTGCTTCATACTCTCCTTTGTTACCTTTTATTACGTCATCAAATCCGACGCTATCACTCTTTCCTGCTTCATACTCTCCATCGTGGGCGTCAAGTTCATCAACAAGTTCGCCATCGTCGCGCTCGCGTGCATCATCCTCACCATCACCGCGGTCTTCATCGGGATATTCGTCAACTTCAACGGGAATCCTAATCTTTAGTAAGCAGATGTGATTTTTTGTTAATTCTTTTACTACGTCATCAAGTCCGGCGCCATCACTCTCGCTTGCGTCATACTCTTTATCACCGCAGTCTTCGTCGGCAAATTCATCAACTTCAACGGAAATCATATCTTCAGTTAGCAAATATTATGCTGATTCGTAAACTTTTATTACGTCATCAAGTCCAACGCCATCACTCTCACCTGCGTCATACTCTCCATCGTGGGCGTCAAGTTCGTCAACAAATTCACCACCTCCATCACCGCAGTCCACATCGGTATATTCGTCAAGTTCAACAGGAATTATAATCTTCAGTAAGTAGATGTGCTTATTTGTTAATTCTTTTACTACGTCATCAAGTCCGTCGCCATCACTCTCGCTTGCGTCATACTCTTCATCACCGCAATCTTCGTCGGCAAATTCATCAACTTCAACGGGAATCATAATCTTCAGTAAGCAGATATTATGTTTATTTGTTAACTTTTATTCTGTCATCAAATCGGATGCCATCACTCTCACCTGCATTATAGTCTCATCATAGTCTTCGTAGACAAATTTGTCAATCTCTTTATAAAATGTTCCTTGGAAGCAACTTCCAGCCAGGTACATACGTACCATAATATGCTTTCTTTCATCAAAACTGATTGGTATATTCAACTATAATGATGTTAATTTCTTTTATTCTAGAATGTGCGTCCTAGGAAACCGTCTATTAAAGGACATACACATCACTAATTGTAGCAAGGCCGTGGACGGCGAACTTCACAAATTATTTTGCCCCAACAAGACCTGCGATCCATACTACGCTACTCACAATATCTCCGTGGTACAGGGAATCAAGGTAATTAAGCAAGGCTTGATTTTTTTCACATTTTCCATAATGTTGACGAGTACCTCTTGTACAGGTAGAACTTTTAAGATAATATTTGGTTCAAACAGTAAATCACTTAAGGCAATTAAAAACATGTGCTTCGCCGCTCTCATTAACTTTAATTCGTGCCAGCCGTAGACTTTTGACTACAGCCACTAACTAGACAGAATAATTGGTGCCTATTGTTATCAGACTACTAATACGCCCAGCTTGGATTTCCAGGGAAACAGGTATTCCCTAGAGAGAACACGCCACGGTGGGTGTTAATGACTGCAGATGTTAACAGAATCCAGAGTACGAAGAATCTTAAACAATTTTAAGAACCATTCAAGACCATGACCTGACTTTCCACAGCGAATATTGCTAAACTTCAAATTACGCTAATCGCTTGGCAATTGAGCTTCGCCATAAACACCTGATGATATAATATAAATAAGTTACATTTATTATAGACCTTCGCAAAGTGGTGCGTGGTACTAATTAGCACATTTGATTTCGTTATCAGGGTTTAGCGAGTGGAGTGTTCTTCACCAACTTACAAGATTCGTTTCTGCAAGAGGGGCAATACATCGCATACGGCAAAGAGCTTGATGACATAGAACAAATGGAGCGACCCACGTACAACCAGGTGTACGCCGACCTCACCACCACATTCACTATTCTAATCGGAATATTCTTCCCGTCTGTCACAGGTAATGTTTAGCCCGTCATGGACGATAAATATTTCATATATTCAGGCTGCTGAATTATCTATAATATTGCTAGACTTTCTTTCGTAAGAGAGATCAGAAGGATCACGGACAGGATCACGATAATTTTCGTCGTTTGTGATGGTTGTTAAAATTATTTGCTTTCATAAGTTACCACCACACGCTTAGAACTTAATTTTTCAACTATTGAATGCTTATTTGCGATTTTACATGCAGGTATCATGGCTGGCTCCAATCGCTCTGGAGACTTGGCGGACGCACAGAAGAGCATCCCCATAGGAACAATCGGTGCTATCTTAACCACGTCCACCGTTTACTTGTCGTGTGTGCTTCTGTTTGCGGGCACAGTTGACAATTTGTTACTACGTGACAAGTAAGATTATCTTGATTGCCATCATTTGTTTCTTTTATAATCTGGAAGGATATCATGCGCGTCACGCCTGATGCTAAGCGGTGAAGGTGGTCAATGAGCGCCTGCAACACCAGGAGTATCAATCACAGTCATGTGCGTTGCTGTCCTTATAAAACCTTGAAGTTTCCTTTATATTTTATTATTATTTCTTTTAACATTCAATCTATCTTGCTTGTATCTATTAAAGTTGTTGAAGCGATATGGGTACGGTAATATTAGCCCAAAGTAGGTTGTTTGCTAAAAATCAAACATGCAAAAAAATCTACCGAAACGGTGTCACTTCTAGACATAGGTATCGATTCTGGCAGGATTCTCTAAACTTAAAACTAAATTTGACATCAGTCTGTCCTTTTCAGTCTGTATAGAGAATGACGGAGATACACTGTTGTCAAATTTAAGTTTAGCTTTAGAGAATCATGCCAGAATCTAGACCATAATCTTACTTATATTGATTGTTATATTTTTTATTGACGTGACAACGTCTTAAATTAGGTTGCGGCTGGGAGTCACTTATGAAAAAGTGTAACGCTCGGTAACGTTACGATGAGTCTCTCGTGTTAAGTTTAAGTTTACATGTACAATGTTTTAGTAAACAAAATATATTTCTATAGTTAAAATTTGTGCAATTCTTATTTTCATTCAATTCCTTGTTCCTATTGTGCAATTTAATTATATTCATATCAATAAATATTCTACCGAGAAAAAGACGTTGTCACGTAAAATCTTCGCCCGTAAAACCGACTTTACAGGCAACCATTTTTTTTTTTACTTTCCAGATTCGGTCAATCCATAGGCGGGAAGTTGGTGGTGGCCAACATGGCGTGGCCGAACCAGTGGGTGATACTGGTGGGATCCTTCCTGTCCACGCTGGGTGCGGGGCTGCAGTCGCTCACGGGTGCGCCCAGGCTGCTACAAGCCATCGCTAAAGACGAGATCATTCCCTTCCTGGCACCGTTCGCCGTCTCTTCCAGTAGGGGAGAACCGACAAGGTACTTAATTTTAAGACACTTAGGTATACCCTTTAAACAAATTGACGTGGATAATACTGGTGGGCTCCTTCCTGTCTACGATGACTGTTGCGTCCAATTTTTTTGGTGCGCTAAATACGAGATCATACCCTTCCTGGCACCAGTTGCCGTCTCTTCTAGCAGGGAAGAACCAACAAGATGCTTTAATAATCCTGGCTGGATTAAAAAAAAACTTTCATACAAAACTTGTCCTGGAAATTGAAAACGCTACAAATAAATTATTAGCCAAATTAGTCAAGCTGTTCTCTAATGATGCTCCATCGTACATATAGCATTGATTAAAATAGATTAAAATATAATATATATCTTCTTTGTCATACAGAGCCCTGCTATTGACAATGGCGATTTGCCAGTGTGGCATCCTGCTGGGAAACGTTGATATCTTGGCCCCTCTGCTGTCCATGTTCTTCTTGATGTGTTACGGTTTCGTGAACTTAGCATGCGCACTCCAGACCTTGTTGAAGACGCCCAACTGGCGGCCGCGCTTCAAATATTACCACTGGTGAGTAAGAAAAAATTGTATCTTAAAGTGGTCTCTACGTATTTAGGAGAGGTAGAAAACAGCATGCGAATTAGGAGTGGTAGAATATTTAAATTCTTAAACCAATAATATTATAATTCGCAACATTTCTTTTGGGTGCTGACGAATAATTTTGTATCTCAGGTCTCTCTCGTTAGCGGGATTAACGCTGTGCATATCCATCATGTTCATGACTTCGTGGTTCTACGCTCTCATCGCCATGGGCATGGCCGGCATGATCTACAAATATATCGAATATCGCGGGTAAGGCAATACTTTAAGTTTACTTCCTATTTGTTATTTTTCAATTTCTATATCAAGCTAACTTAATTAGAAGTTATTTTTCTATTTAAACTAAATTATAAACAGTTGAGTTAAAGAAATAGCTCTTGATTCAACTTAAAATTAAACTTCGTTTTTTTCCCAGAGCCGAGAAGGAATGGGGTGACGGCCTCCGAGGTCTGGCTTTATCAGCGGCGCGCTACTCGCTCTTGCGGCTGGAACAAGGCCCACCGCACACTAAGAACTGGAGACCGCAAGTACTGGTCCTGGCCAAGTTGAACGACGACCTCGTGCCTACGTATAAGAAGATGATAGCCTTCTCTAGCCAGCTGAAAGCAGGTTAGTACAATGTGGTACTAGTGGCTTGGAAACAGAAAAATGTCGATTAGTAGATGCTCTTGGTTCACTAGATTTAGTGTATATATATTTATGATCCTTAAAAACACTTATGTTATTAATTAGTAATATTTTCTACAGGACTGGGATTTTATGGGCAATGTGAAGAATTTATTCGCTTCTTCCGGGTTCTTTAGGAGAAATAACTGACTTACGCCTTGTCCAAGACACTCATGAATGTAAAAAGTCCTTTGGGATAAAATTATTGTATTGAATGATCACAAAAACGAAATTATTTGAATGGAAAACAAAACTACATTCTTTTATTTTCTTTTAGACAGCTATCAATATTATATACGAATGAATCACAAAAACAGCATATAATTAACAATCAAAAAACTTGTATCGTGCTCTGCGTGGACCCACGACAAGCAATGCACTCGTAACTTATATCACTGTGATTACAACAACTTACACCCAACAGCCAAATGCAGCAATTGGATTACCCGTAGTGTCACCACTCACCAACATTTCGACACATAGCTGCCGTGCGGGCTTATTATAGAAGTAGGTTTTTAAAATCCCGTTATTTATATCACAGGGAAAGGTTTGACGGTATGCGTATCGGTGCTGGGAGGAGACTTCACCAGGCGAGCCGGGGAGGCCTCTACCGCCAAGCAGAATCTGCGCAAGTGCATGGACGACGAAAAAGTCAAAGGCTTCGTGGACGTGCTTGTGTCACCCAGTATCGCTGATGGACTCAGTCATTTGTGAGTCATACCTTAAAGAACAGTCAAAATGAATACTAACAAGTAAATAACTGTACTATTCCAAATTCAAAGCATTATCTGTTCGACTATACAGAAACCAACGAAATTTGAATAGCTATCTAAAGGCGTACCTTCAAACCTGTACTTTAAACAAAAATCGATTGATTGTGTCGTTATCTAAAGCTTTCATAACTATGTAGAGGCTTTTCTGAAAAAATCAGTACATCGACATATCGTGTACTTAATCGTGTTGTGCGCTCTCTTAAGGCATCAAAAATTAAGCAATTTAGCGTAGGATGGACGATGATAACGATCATGATTATAATCAAAGAATGATTTATTTGAATATTATATTATTTGAACGATATCCATTCATGTTTATAACATATCTGAATTCAGCGTCCAAACGACCGGTCTGGGCGGGTTAAAACCCAACACGGTGATTGTGGGGTGGCCGTACGGCTGGCGGCGCTCGGAGGAGTACCAGCCCGACAGCCCACCCAAGTGGCACTCGTTCCTGCACACCGTGCGTGCCGTTACCGCCGCGAGGATGGCCATGCTCGTGCCTAAGGGGATTAACTTCTTCCCGGACTCCACTGAGAAGGTATTATTACATTCTAGGTTCCGAACTCTTCGAGTATGACATACGGTGTGTCCCACCAGAATCTTATGGACCTGCCCGTGGGTGAGGATAGATCAAGGAACTGAGTCACCTGGTAGGTACGGTACTCGGAGGAATACCAGCCCGACAGCCCGTCCAAGTGGCACTCGCTCCTGCACACCGTGCACGCCGTCGCCGCCTTTATCATTTGCCGAGTCCCATGATCTCGTGGTTCGCCCGATGAGTGACGGGGAGTCGGGGAATAATTAATTCACCTGGTATGAACGGGCGCTGCATGCGACTGGCTATTTATTCTCTGGACATCAGTTGCGGTGCATGGAATAATCGAACGGCTTTGCACCGGAGAAACCCAGGCAATCTTGGCTTTGGGTCCAGTAAATTATGCTTAACCGACAGCAACATCACGCTCTCGAACTAATGTCACTCACATACATGATTTAGCATTGAATAAAAGCCAAATGCGCTACATACGAAATCAGTTCAAGAGCATGACGCTGCTGTAGGATAAAGCATAATTTTCTCCCCATTACTTTGTACCCAAGGAGTGACAAACAGAACCTATGAATATTCAGCAAAAGTTTGAATTTGCTATAAACAATGAATGATTTAATTACCACGAATTATATCGGCCGGCCTTTAAGAACGGACGCGAGCTGAGAAACATTTAAGAAATAGGTATTTGTAAAAACTATTGCTGTCACGCATTAGCAAATACCGTGCGATAGGGACGACAGAGACAAACTTCTTAGTAATCCATGGATTCACCATGCGGATGCCGAGTCCATCGGGAGAGAGAGAAACTCTGAGCAGTTCCAGGGACTTGCGACCTAGGAGTAGGTTTAAGGAGGCCCCCTTTAAGATGCGCATCAACGCTTACCTTCACTGCTAAAGTTGCCCGCCCTTCCTAGCCAAATTTGATAGGAACATGTTAGTGCAGCCTTAGTTATTGAACTTACTGCAGTTCTCGACAGGCCTAGGTATTTTAGAAGGTTATAGAGAGATTTTGCTGGTATGCCTCTCGCTCCTACTTCTACCCAAGTAGGAGCAGTAGTTAACGCTGAAATATTGCGTATAAAAATTGCAAAAGTCGAGGTTTGGCTCTCGACGATTTCCTCCTCGAAATTTTAACTTAATATGTAAAAGAAATTTTACCCATAGAATAAACAGTAGATATACTATGCCTCTATGTTTTGCTTTTTTGTAAATTTTTATCAAAGATTTAAATCTTAGACGTCTTTAGTGGTGATAAAAATTTGTTTATTTTTGGCATTTTTGAAGGCTTCCAGTTTCTTTGAAACACAAGTCATCGAAAAAAGGAAGACAAAGGAGCATAGAATGAGCAAAAAAATATTTCATGTTTCATACATGTCAATTCTTTAATGATAAAAATCAAGGAGGAATTATTTGAGAACGTTTGTATTGAAAAAACATTACCCGCCTCCCCGCTTAAATTATGATAATATTTAAAGTATCTAAACATTATGTCCAGGTATCAGGCAACATAGACATTTGGTGGATCGTTCACGACGGCGGCATGCTGATGCTGCTGCCGTTCCTGCTGAAGCAGCACCGCACCTGGAAGAACTGCAAGATGCGCATCTTCACCGTTGCGCAGATGGAGGACAACTCCATCCAAATGAAGAAGGACCTCAAGATGTTCCTCTACCAGTTGAGGTTGGAGGCCGAGGTGGAAGTCGTTGAAATGGTTCGTAACTAAATTTATATATACCTACACTTTTGTTGACAGTTTTTGCGTTGATATTAGAATTTAACCAATTTAGAAACTATTTTCAAATGAACAGAAAGCTCATTTAAGTATGTTTTTATTCTTTAGTTGTTTTTTGTGAAATCCTTTCATTGTGTTGTTGTTGTTAGCTGACAACTGTCATGTTGCTGAATCTATCTGTTTTAGATAAAATGATCACTTCTCATTTAATAAAACTTTTTTTCCTGATTGATTATAATTGAAATTATGAACTATTTTGGATTCTATGGTAAGAAATCATAGATTGGTTTTCTAATTTAATACAGACCGACAGCGATATATCAGCTTACACATACGAGAGGACGCTTATGATGGAACAACGTAACCAGATGCTGAGAGAACTGCGGCTCAACAAGAAGGAAACCCTCGGCATGGTGAGTATGGTATTCGACTTAAACTTATGACTTCATCTCATATAATACCTAGACAATAAAATTACAACAGTGAATGCTGTGATGTGTTTTTAATTCTATTTCGCAGATTTAACTTTAACACTGAATAGTTCATTCATCATCGCACATTGGCCTCTTTCGAAATTTAAGGGCTATCTAACCCCCAAGCCATTTCATGAGCAATGATCACGTTGGCTAACGTAATTATATTTAATAATTCACATCGTTGAATATTATTAAATTAATGTATTTTTTAATAAACTCTATAATTTTATTTTGAGTTACCAAAGAAAGATTATCAATGAAAATCTTTTAATCAAATTTAAATATTCATTTGCCAATGTTTGATAGATTTTGTATTTTGTCATTTAAATTATTTCAGATTGTTGTTATAATATGTCTGCTCGTATAGGATACCTACATACTAATAACATTGCTTTTCAAATGTCTGTAAAAAGCTTACTACTGTGTATTTTCATGACTAACAAATATTTGTCTGTCTGTCACTGCGACCACAGATGCAAAATTTCGTGGACTATCGTGAAAACGCTGAGGAGAAGTTACCTCTGGTAATCTAGCTACTTAAACCTCAACAGAGTCCACCTCTAGCTATTTTTGTTCTTTCTCCCGCATTCTGTATTATTAATTTACTAAATGGACCATAATCAATGTGTGAATGGATCTTCTTCTAAGCTTGACATTGTTATAGTTGAATTAGTAGATAAAATTAGGGCTGTACTTTATTCATTAGTGTTTTAAATGTTATATCATCCATGAAACTGCATGCGTTACTCAGTCATTGCAAGAAAGATTACTTCTTTGGCATAATTACAGCCCTAGTTAGATATCGCCTATGTTAAGAGCTATGTCTTATAGAGTAAGATCCCAAGATCGCCCGACCTTACTTGTTTTCTCATGGACAAAATATAGATAATTGAGTAGTAGTACCGAGTACAATGAACGGTACATACTTGCTAACCTGTGCTGTGGGTCCATTTTCAGGTATTAGGTGGTACAGGCACGTAAAAATTTTACTCACTTTACTTACAGTCCGAGGACTGATTCCTAGGTATGTTGTCGAGAATATTATAAACAATTTGAAATTATTACTGCCAAACACATTCTGTCAGCAGTATTTAATTTATTTATTTATATATTTTAACGCCAGACACTTTAAATGTCATAAGCAAAAAACACAAACTTACTTACAGTCTGCGACTATCTATCTATTATATTTAGGAGATATTATTATATAAAAACAAGAAACAAAACTACCCTAAGCTTATTTAAAGTGCCACTGTGAGAAAGAGCTCTAAAGGTAATTAAGTGCCTTTTTAATACACCGTCACCAAAGTTATCTTATAAATAATGTAAAGGAAGCCTTTTAATTATTTCTTAATATCTAACTATCGAATGATTGCAGAAAATAAGTAAGGTTGTGTTTTTTGCTTTCGACATTTAAAGTGTCAGGTATTAAATATAGCTGACATTATGTGTATGACAGTATTAATTTCAAATTAAGTACACCTATCGGACTGTCAATTTGGTTTCCGTTCTGGAAAATCAACGGAGGATGCCGTTCACGAACTTTGTAACTACGTTGTGGGGGCTCTTGATGGTACAGGGAAGTGCCTAAGTATTTTCCCTGATCTAGCAAAAGCCTTTGACACGGATTCCATCCCCAGGCTTGATAGTAAATTAGAAAAAAAAATAACAAGGGGAACACAACTCGAGCTCTTCAAAAGCTATTTAGTTAATCGTAGTAAATCTGTGTAGCTGGGTAATTATATTAGTTCTGAGCAACTTATACAATACGATGTCCCACTAGGTTACATTTTGAGACCTACACTCTTCTTAATTTATGTTAATGACATGTGTAACTCGCAGCCCCAATAGCAAATTATTTGCCTATGCTGACGACACTGTATTGCTTTTCTCAACAATAACTAATTGGAACGATACTTATCATCTTGCACACTTAGAATACTCAACGGTCACAGATTAGCTAAGTGACAATGTAATCCCTCTTAACATTAAAAAAAACAAGTTTTTGGCCTTTTCTATCAAAAATACTGGGAGGAATTCTACATCAAAACAGCATCCTTTCTACCGCATATGATCTTCATGAGTGAGAAAGTGAATATTTGTTTTACAAACTGTTGCGTCATGTGGCCGAACCAATAATTATAAAGTTAGTTTATTTTGCGCTTTGTCAATATACATCATATTACATCTCAGCCTGGGGTATAGCAGCGTCCTCCCATTTGATTAAGCTTGAGCGTGCTCAGCGAGCTATATTAAAGGTTTCAACTTTTAAACTGTTTCGCTTTCCGACTGAAGACCTCTACAAATTGTGTGAGGTTCTCACAGTCAGGCAGCTGTTCATACCTACTTAGCATTATTTTGCGACAGCATTCAAATATCCCTGCAACTGACGTCAATAACAACAATAAAATATCCTCTCGTCGTAGAAGACTGATATACTGTGCTTCCTTTTGTAAAACTGCCTTCAGCTGTAGATTCTATTACTTTCTATGTAGGTTTTTGTGTAACAAACTGAATAACATACTGTCACTAGACTTCAAAAACTGTCATACAGTGAAGAAGGTCAAAGTGGCTTTTGGATTTAAATTACTGAAAAACAAACAATCTTTTCTACACCCTGTGCCGAAGGGTACTTAGCGGTGTTTCTCTATTGACTTGTACTACAACGCAACAAACACACACACAACACAACAAACACACATACACACACTATTCAAACGCGCGTATTAATCGCGTCTTTTATGTTCAAGTGTATTTTTAAATCAAACTAGATTATATTAATTTTTTTTTCTGTTCATGAATCCTGTGCACAAATACCAAGTACATATTTAGTACATCAAGGAAGGATTGCTGGTACCTACAGCACAGGTTATCCTATTTTAGGTGCCTGCTCGCAATAATTCTTGTATGTGTCATAAATATTATTTTCATATCATTACATGTTTTTAAGATAAATGAATCAGTCCTCAGACTTTAAGTAAAGTGAGTTAAATTTTTACGTGCTTGCGCTACTTGATACCTGAAAATTTGCCCATTTCACAAGTTCATTGTACACACTAATGCTACTCAATTATCCATATTTTGTCTATTAGAAAATAAGTAAGGTCTGGCGGTCTCTGGATCTTGTACTATTACATCATCATGCGTCATTAAATAATTTTAATCATTTCTATCTCATTTACTCAACACACTCGAGTAAGCTATTTGCTTTTGATGTTTCTTGTTTATAAACTGTCACTTCTACTGTAATTTAATTTATGATCTGTCACATGGGGTTATTTTCACATTATGCAAGTCAAAGTACCTATATTTTTTTCATTTATTAAGTTTTTTGTAAACATTTATGAATCTGTATCAGTTTCTTTGCAACTGTGAATAGCGCCCTGTTTCTTCTTTATAATATTATCACTTGTTAATCAATAGTTGCACAAATAATTCTTAGTGTAAGTTGCACCACAGAACTAGTTTAAGTTAAATTTAACTTTAACTTTAACTGGCGTCGCTTGGACAGTTATTTGACACTGGTGTCGATTCTGGTATGATTCTCTGAACCTAAACCTAAATTTGACAAAAGCGTATCCTTGTCCTTCTCTATACAGAATAAAAAGGAGAGACTGATGGATCTTAGAATCGACACCACTGTCAAATTATGACCTCATTTTAACTATCACCAAATAGTAACCCATTTTTTACCTTCACATTTTTTACAATCAGTGTTTTAACTTGACAGTTAAGTGACACTATCAAATTATGATCTCATTTTGGCTATCGTCAAATAGTTACTCATTTTTAACCTAACCGGTACTTTAACTGAACAGTTAAAGTAAGTTCGTGCAACACACGATTGGACGACACTTGGGTGTCAAATCAAAGAATAAAATCGCTAACACTACTTAAACTATCCCCAACTGTTACTAATATTCGATGTTTTATCAATCCCGAAAATTCTTTTTACTCTTGATTGCCCAATAAGACGACTGTACCTAAATAACTAGCTAAAAATAAGTATTTTTTTAAGTTTACAGTAAGAACACTATTCAAACACACTATGACATACCTCTATAATCGATCTTACAGTTACTTTAATAATTTAAGTGAATGTACCAAACTAATGTAGAGTAAAAACATATCAGCAGTGCTATTCTGGGAAAATTTTATGCGTTCCGTAGACCGGAACGCGTGAAAATTTTATTATAAAGGTGATTCCGAAAATATTTGGATTTCGTTATATATCGCATCAAATTCAACAACAATTAAACAAATCTTAAAATTTTATAGTAACCTGATATGTTGTTTTGTCTGTACCAACATTGTTCTTTTTTATGGCTATCGTTTTAAAATTTATGTATTTAGTGATATTTTTTTCCGGTATTGCTAATGAAATTATCCATATTTATCGTTTCTAAAAATACAGCCGGAACTTTAAAGAATTAGATGTCTTATTAGTGCGTGATCCCATTGAGAGCTCTTATTACAAGCTAAGAACTATATTTCAAATAAAGAAACTGCAATTTAATTCACAAGGTTTGGTATTCAGGTAGCGAAAAGTATGCCATCGGTTTGCAAATCTACCACGGGACACCTTGTAACCGTAGTAAACTCAGCAAGGGAGCATTTTTTATTATTTTATACAGTTTATAGATAGAAAATACTTTATTAAAAAAATAAGCTAACATAAATAGATTTAAACTCTCTATTTCGCAATTTGCAGCTAACACAATTGATGTGATCATCATTGGTAAAGTTTTCAACCATAAAATCTTGGACATTAAAATAGTTTACTTAGCAAATAGCTGCCAATGGAATCACACCCTTGAACAACATTACTGTCTAAAAAAGTAGAGTATAGATTTTTATCAACAATAAGACTAATAGAAACATAATACACCTTTAATATAAACTAAAATTTGGTTACTTTCACTGGCAATAAAAACCTAATGATACTCTTACTTCCACACTTCACAGTTTTTATGAGCTAAAAGTTATTAAGAGTTTTGCTTATGTTTTCGTTAATTAGTAATCTAGAACTAAGTAATATACATATATATATTTGGTGTTTTTAATCTGTAAAAAAAGCTATGTCTGTGTTATCGCCTATATTGTAAAGGCAAAAGAAATAATTACGCAAAGGCAAACCCAATCGATTGAACCCGTGTTGGTCGACAATAACGTGAGGTTTCCCAATAGGTGCAAGACAAGAAAAAAACGTGTTGTGCCTCTCTAACGCGACGTCTTCCTATAGGTACAAGCGATCGTTGATCACCACCACGCTGACGTGAAGACCGCGAGCAAGGTTCGGTTCGCGGAGCCCGGCACGGCGGAGGCGGAGGACGCGCCCTCCCCGCCGCTCACCGACAACGAGGATAAGGACAAAGACGACAAGGTGAACACCGAACCATAATCACACTACACTAAGGCTGCTTTTACATCAAATATCTGTGAAGTATCTAATCTGTGCGCGCGATAATTAATTCAGGAGACTTAAGCCTCGATGGCGAGTTTGCTAGCAGCTTGTAAACTCGCCCCGTGCATCGCCTTTTATACCATCTGCTACTCGATGATACGGGGCGAGTTTACAAGCTACTAGCGAACTCGCTGGCTTATAGCTTGTAAACTCGCCCCGTGTCATCGAGGCTTTAGGCAAGTGGCATTCTTATATCTTAAAAGAACCTAATGTGTGCGCACGATAATTCAGGGCTCCTAGAACAGCTAAAGGCCGTAAAAGCTTAGGGCTGGTAAAACCAATAAAAATTGGGGCCTAGGAAAGTATGATTCTTACATCTGTACCGTACCTAATCTGCGAGCACGATACTACAAGGGGTCTAGAAAAATGGCATTCTTATAATCTGTAAAATGCTTAATCTGTGTGTGTACGATTATCCGGGGGGGTAAGTGGCAGTCTTATATCTGGAAAATACTTAATCTGTGTGCGCGATAATCCAAGATGCCTAGACGAATGACATTCTTTCTATCCGTTTGAACAATAAAGCTTGCTTTAAAATTTAATAATAGGTATTAATAATTAAATATTATGTTGTAAGCATTATGATTGAACAAACAATGCACTTGAGAGTTTATTGCTTATTAGTTAACGTTAACGTGACCGGTCGCTCGAATAGAAAGGTAGCCGTTTTTGCCAGGCACCACGACTATTGAGATGAGCAATGCCAATATAGTACTGACATACTATTATAATTTAACATATTGGAAGATTATTTCTATACGTAACTAAGCTACCTCGCGTATCTCTGGTGGAATAGCAGCCTAATTATTAATTACTACACAGTGTTTAATGCCAGTTTTTAAACTCGATTGAGTCTACATGAACAAACAAAATGTTTACCTATTAGGTTTTGCAATGATATAACGCAATTAATGGTGATACCTTAATACCGCGTACCCTATACTAATTCGGGTTAATATAATCCAGACCAAGTTAATAAAAGGTTTTAAAAGAAACTACAACAAACCATGTAAACATAATCGAGAAAATCATAGACGATTCTCATCACACCCCAAATGCAAGTTTTTGGTATCTCCTAGTATGTACTTACTCATTAAGATTTATAAAGTAACAAATGATAAAGAATTTTTAGCAATACCTATACTAATTAGGTAACAATAGAAAAACCATAATTCTGTGAACAGTTTATAATGTTTTCTGAAGCAGTTGATGCTAAAACTGGCATAAAATACTTACTTTGATCAGACGTGTGTAATAAGTTTCTCGTAACACTAATTTGCTTGAAATTTTATCGCGTCAAGTAGTATTTTCCTTTTATAAAACCATGAAAAGTTTTCGTTTTCTACAACTGAAATTGTAGATGTGATGTATTTAGTATATCACAGTCAATAAAACTATTATGAATTGTATTCATTCGCCACTTATCACTTCGATTTCGTGAAGGACTTAGTACACAAGTATCAGAATGTACTTTCAGGAAACATTAATTGTTGATAAAATATTTAAATTTTGGTGATAGAATCATTTTACGCACGTATTATCAACTGTCATTTTACAATTAAGCCCTTTTAGAATCGAAAATTATATATAATTATCAAAAATATTTGTATTTTAAATGTTATAATTTAACTATTATAAACATAAGTAAAAGTCTAAAATTCTAAAGGGGCTAAGATTGTATGGTTAGTTAATTAAGTTAAAAATCTAAAATCCCAATGTTATTAAAATAGTTAAATACCAGTTATATACACTTTAAAACTTAAACACTAAGCAATTTTATTTTTGAGCTGAATTAAGTTTTTTTTCTGATGGTTCTTTATATAATAGCCTTTGAATTTTAAATGTATATGGGAGCTATGATAACTATTTCTAACGAGATTAAAACATCCATGTCTGTGCCCGATATATTATTTATCCAACTGGAAATATTTGTTTACTTTTTCATTTGTTTTTCTTGTATTTTATATTAATTTCAAATGGAAATGTTAATTTCTCATTAGATGATCATAAGCTTCGTAATAAAAAGAAGCAGCGTTCTTATATTGGTATTGTGTTGTTGAACCACCGTTTTTATAGAGTGCAAAAGCATTACTAGATTAAAAATTAAATGTACCTATAGAAGCGTATTGAATACTAATAATAAATATATTTCTATAATTTTTATTATTTTTAAAGCATGTAACTGCTTGATGTTTAAATCTAAAGAAAATATAACTAGAAAAAATTCCACGCGGACCAGGCAGCAGACGGGACTCGAACCCGCACCCTTCGCAATCCGGGCGAATGCACTGACCAATTATGCTACCGCGGCCCTCACGGACCGCGTCGAAATTCTCTCTAGCTATTCTTAAGCTGCAAGGCAGCGCCATCTCTTCGCATTATAGGTAAACCCACAATGACAAATGAATACTTTTACAAGTATTAAACATTTGAAAGAAGAAATAGCAATTATAGTTATAATTTTTATTATTTTTAAAGCATGTAACTGCTTGATGTTTAAATCTAAAGAAAATATAACTAGAAAAAATTCCACGCGGACCAGGCAGCAGACGGGACTCGAACCCGCACCCTTCGCAATCCGGGCGAATGCACTGACCAATTATGCTACCGCGGCCCTCACGGACCGCGTCGAAATTCTCTCTAGCTATTCTTAAGCTGCAAGGCAGCGCCATCTCTTCGCATTATAGGTAAACCCACAATGACAAATGAATACTTTTACAAGTATTAAACATTTGAAAGAAGAAATAGCAATTACAGTTATAATTTTTATTATTTTTAAAGCATGTAACTGCTTGATGTTTAAATCTAAAGAAAATATAACTAGAAAAAATTCCACGCGGACCAGGCAGCAGACGGGACTCGAACCCGCACCCTTCGCAATCCGGGCGAATGCACTGACCAATTATGCTACCGCGGCCCTCATGGACCGCGTCGAAATTCTCTCTAGCTATTCTTAAGCTGCAAGGCAGCGCCATCTCTTCGCATTATAGGTAAACCCACAATGACAAATGAATACTTTTACAAGTATTAAACATTTGAAAGAAGAAATAGCAATTTCTTTAGATTTAAACATCAAGCAGTTACATGCTTTAAAAATAATAAAAATTATAACTATAATTGCTATTTCTTCTTTCAAATGTTTAATACTTGTAAAAGTATTCATTTGTCATTGTGGGTTTACCTATAATGCGAAGAGATGGCGCTGCCTTGCAGCTTAAGAATAGCTAGAGAGAATTTCGACGCGGTCCGTGAGGGCCGCGGTAGCATAATTGGTCAGTGCATTCGCCCGGATTGCGAAGGGTGCGGGTTCGAGTCCCGTCTGCTGCCTGGTCCGCGTGGAATTTTTTCTAGTTATATTTTCTTTAGATTTAAACATCAAGCAGTTACGTGCTTTAAAAATAATAAAAATTATAACTATAATTGCTATTTCTTCTTTCAAATGTTTAATACTTGTAAAAGTATTCATTTGTCATTGTGGGTTTACCTATAATGCGAAGAGATGGCGCTGCCTTGCAGCTTAAGAATAGCTAGAGAGAATTTCGACGCGGTCCGTGAGGGCCGCGGTAGCATAATTGGTCAGTGCATTCGCCCGGATTGCGAAGGGTGCGGGTTCGAGTCCCGTCTGCTGCCTGGTCCGCGTGGAATTTTTTCTAGTTATATTTTCTTTAGATTTAAACATCAAGCAGTTACATGCTTTAAAAATAATAAAAATTATAACTATAATTGCTATTTCTTCTTTCAAATGTTTAATACTTGTAAAAGTATTCATTTGTCATTGTGGGTTTATCTATAATGCGAAGAGATGGCGCTGCCTTGCAGCTTAAGAATAGCTAGAGAGAATTTCGACGCGGTCCGTGAGGGCCGCGGTAGCATAATTGGTCAGTGCATTCGCCCGGATTGCGAAGGGTGCGGGTTCGAGTCCCGTCTGCTGCCTGGTCCGCGTGGAATTTTTTCTAGTTATATTTTCTTTAGATTTAAACATCAAGCAGTTACATGCTTTAAAAATAATAAAAATTATAACTATAATTGCTATTTCTTCTTTCAAATGTTTAATACTTGTAAAAGTATTCATTTGTCATTGTGGGTTTACCTATAATGCGAAGATATGGCGCTGCCTTGCAGCTTAAGAATAGCTAGATAGAATTTCGACGCGGTCCGTGAGGGCCGCGGTAGCATAATTGGTCAGTGCATTCGCCCGGATTGCGAAGGGTGCGGGTTCGAGTCCCGTCTGCTGCCTGGTCCGCGTGGAATTTTTTCTAGTTATATTTTCTTTAGATTTAAACATCAAGCAGTTACATGCTTTAAAAATAATAAAAATTATAACTATAATTGCTATTTCTTCTTTCAAATGTTTAATACTTGTAAAAGTATTCATTTGTCATTGTGGGTTTACCTATAATGCGAAGAGATGGCGCTGCCTTGCAGCTTAAGAATAGCTAGAGAGAATTTCGACGCGGTCCGTGAGGGCCGCGGTAGCATAATTGGTCAGTGCATTCGCCCGGATTGCGAAGGGTGCGGGTTCGAGTCCCGTCTGCTGCCTGGTCCGCGTGGAATTTTTTCTAGTTATATTTTCTTTAGATTTAAACATCAAGCAGTTACATGCTTTAAAAATAATAAAAATTATAACTATAATTGCTATTTCTTCTTTCAAATGTTTAATACTTGTAAAAGTATTCATTTGTCATTGTGGGTTTACCTATAATGCGAAGAGATGGCGCTGCCTTGCAGCTTAAGAATAGCTAGAGAGAATTTCGACGCGGTCCGTGAGGGCCGCGGTAGCATAATTGGTCAGTGCATTCGCCCGGATTGCGAAGGGTGCGGGTTCGAGTCCCGTCTGCTGCCTGGTCCGCGTGGAATTTTTTCTAGTTATATTTTCTTTAAATATATTTCTGTAAAAAACAAAATCATAATTTAGGACAAAAACTAAAATCCGTACCAATAAGTACTTGGATTCGGTCAATGTCAAAAGTTGTTAAGGTGCACGTCTAGGTATTTTATAATCTTTATTTATTCTCCGAGCCTTCATTTATTAGGTAAAAGGGGATGAAAATATAAATACAACGTAAATGTACTCCGAAATTTTCTCTATTAATAGCATGTCATAGTACTATGATAACATTTTCCTTTATTTATTTATTATCGGTTTCACGAACAATTAAAACTCTTTTCCCTTGCTATCGGTATAAGAACGATTGCTACTTTAACAACCCACCCTAATGCACCGCTTAACATTATTATTGTTAATATTAAGATTATTTTGCTTTTATATTTTATTTCACATATCCGCATTACCATTGTGTCACGTATGAGTCCTAGCGAATCTACACGGTGGTCATATGTATGCAACTAGTTCATTCACATTGATTTATTCACTTTGGTTTGTTCCGTATTCCACTAGCTAAGATAATGGATGTTTGAATGTCCGTAGTTGAGTGACTGTTGAATTGATACAGTATATGACATCCCGTGTTTTATTCGTTTTGAATCCGTCATGTGCAACTGTCGGTACGCGAATCCGGTATTGGAAACTCGAACGGGACTTAAATGGGATAACGTAGGACGATTTCCGAAGTAGCCTGTTGCACATAATCGATTCAATGTGGGACTCGCCCGATGCATCGCAGTGTGAGGGGGAAACCTCGCCGCCGCCTGAAGCAGACAAACCGAAGGAGAACAACGCCAACGGGGACGCACTCAAACCTAAACCGAACATGACGGACATTACGCCGTAAGTTCCATTTTGTTATTATTATAGACTAGCAGATAAATTTTGCGAAAAAAAAGATCTTCCGGATATTTTAATGTGTGACTTCATTGTTCTTTTTTTATAATACTATTTTAGGAAAGCGTTATAATCATTGTATCAAACCTATAAAGATACACGAAATAAGTCGATTCTAATTTATAAAATGTCTCAAAATCAAAAGTAATAATTGTAACAGGAAAACACATAAAAAAAAGTTTTTGGTGTAAATAATAATTATGTATAATTCATTTATTCCCTGAAATCTACTATAACTAGTGCTACACAAAAAGCTGACATCAACAGTGAAGATCACATATTTTTAAACTATAGAATTGTTCTAATACATTTTTATTAATTTTTCATATCTGCAGAGATGAAGGTACAGTGCGACGGATGCATACGGCTGTAAAATTGAACGAAGTGATTGTAACGCGGTCGCACGATGCGCAGCTGGTGATCCTCAACCTGCCCGGCCCGCCGCGCGACACCAAGGTCGACAGGGAATCCAACTGTGAGTAGTGTGTTCCTATATCATTCTAGGCTATGGAGCTGAACGAAGTGATCGTGACGCGATCGCATGACGTGCAGCTCGTGATCTTCAAACTGCCGCAGCGCGACACCAAGATCGACAGGGAATCCAACTGTGAGTCGTGTGTTTCTGGTCATTATTGGATTTCGGGCTGTACCCTTTGCATGAACCAACATCGAATTCGAATAGTTTGCGAGTGCGAAATGCCATTGAAAAGTATTGGTTCGTGCTAAGGGTACTGGAGGAAGTGATCGTGACGCGGCTGCACGACGCCAGCTCGTGCCCTACCCTGCTCTATCAGTCATAGGAATGGGTTAGGAGAGACATAATGTGTAGACTATGCGACACTCTCTCTTATCTCTGTCGTTGGACACTCTTCATTAAGTTAACAGTGCATCATCATCAGCTCATTAATGTCCCCAAGGCTGGAATTCCTAAGGATGGAACAGGGAGATGACCATTATTGTGTTGTATTTCGGTATTGTTATTATTACAAAATCTTGGTAATCTAGTCTCCACTTGTATGCTTGCTACGAACGTAGCATTGATGCTACAGAACTAGTCATAGTAGGCGAGCCAAGACAATATTGCCTTTTTCTAAAAAAAAAAATTTTTTTAAATGATTTATACAGATAATGCTTCAAGAGTTCATCAATAATATTCGTACATATTATACATATATGATATAAATGTATATGAGTGATACTGAGCTATCAGAAACACACGGACAGACATCTGAATTCACTATCGAACATAAACCATAGTAATACGTAAGATAAACAAATAATGTTACACTTGCGAATTCTGGCAGGTACATTTTCATATTATTTATTTTCGTATTTTGAAAAATACGGGCGCGGCGTCCTCTGCGTATACTACGTAATTCGTAGCAAACTTAATGTGGTTCGTAGTTGTGATAATAATATGCTACAAAATATTATTGGTGACAAGGCTGTCTGATATCTATATAATATAACTATACCTTACAGATGAATTTAGTCCTTATTTGTGTTGTCCCCTTTCAAATATAATTAGGTATTAAACTACTTGACCGTCACTGAAAGCTTTATATTGAGATAGCACTTCCGTTTCCCGTCGAATTACCATCAGTTTCCGTACTTTTATTCACCTTGTATCCGGTCCAGTGGCGACACCTGGCAGAAGCGCGGCCATTTTTGTTTTCCTAAGTTTTGACAGCGCCATATTAACTCATTGGCGTTCTGACTCCCGTCGAAGCAACACGTGCTCAATCTGAGCGATCGTTGTGAGATTTTAAAGGTTTTATTATTATTAAGTGATAAAACTGTAAGTAAAACTATTTTATTTTAACGGTTTTTGCCGTTCTTGTTATTCCAAATAGGTACTTTACGTGTTAAAAGTGAAGGAACCGTAAGTAAAACTATTATTCTTTTTGATAGTTTTTGCAGCCCTTGTGATAAGGGATATTTAAAACAAATATGTTAAATTGTGCAATACCCTTGTTTTAAAAAGTTACAATAAGCCGTGAGTAAGTAAAACTTGACGGTCATTCAAGGTGCGTTTTGTTTAAAAAATTAAAGTACCTACATTAAAGTAAATTTTGCAATACTTTACGACTGTCTTGGTCGTTTGTAATAAAAACTATTTTAAGAGTGTTTTCTCTTGGTACTCAATTAATGTTTCCGTATAAGTAAGTGTGAAAGTAAATTGGTAAATGTATTACAAAATACTTAATTAAATTATTTTATAGTTTAGAGTGAAGGAACATCGGTCAATATTGACGTTTCAGCCGCCAACTGACTGGCATTAGTGGCAAAAACAGCAAGATGGTTGAATTTGTCATCTTCTGGTATAACGAAAGCGGCATCGCTGTCTCAAGAAAAGTAAGCGAGCTTGATATTCCAGCCCTTTTATTAAAAGATTGTTCGAGGGGTAAGTGAACTATGTACAATCTTAATAAGGTATTTCTAATGTCGATATGCCTTTTTCTGAACATGGCCAGCTATCGATATCAAAAGGCTTATGAATAAAAAGTTCTAACATTTTTACTGACCAATACACGTAATAAAAATTCTCATGTGAGTCGTGTGACTAAACTAGGATAAAGGAACGCTCTGTTCGAAAGACATTCAACGTTTATTTTAAATGATATGCTGATGTAAATTGAAAATTATAATCATAGTCCAGGCTTTACCAACCTGGAAACAAACAACGAGGTAAAGAAGTATGATGATAATTTATGATATATCACGTTCCTGACATTAATTTTCTTTCAGCAATTGCATATTTCTAAAATAAAAATGAATCATTGCGGGAAGGCGCTTGTTCAGTTAATTTTAATAACGAAAGTGATAAGATAACAGAATCGTTTCTTAGGTCTTTTACAGCTAGTGAGGGCACAAAGCTAAAAAGTAAAAACTAAAGCACTGCTTAAAAAGTTAGTGATCTCTGTGATGAAGCACCACTTAATAAGATACCATCTAATCACCCATAATGATTCAGAGCTTTTGAGATTGTTTTCTCGTATTAAGTCAGAATTAGTCATGGATTCAACTCACGCAGAGGCAAGTGATACTCATAAGCTTCATCTCATGAATCCCAAGGCGTGTCAGGACATGCCCTCCCATGTCGTACCGATACCTATGAGTACCGGTGGCAAATCACCCTCGCAGGGTGCATATTATATATAATTTGTTTCCACTACGTGGAATCTTATGAAATGCGTCAAATGCCTTGCCTACATATACGAGTACCGGAAGCAAATCACCCTCGCGGGGTGCATATTATATACAATTTGTTTCCACTACGTGGAACCTTATGAAATGCTTCTAATGCCTTGCCTACATATACGAGTACCGGCAGCAAATCACCCTCGCGGGGTGCATATTATATACAATTTGTTTCCACTACGTGGAACCTTATGAAATGCTTCTAATGCCTTGCCTACATATACGAGTAACGGTAGCAAACCACCCTCGCAGGGTGCATATTACCAAGACTCTAATGATCGCCCCTCGCGGGGGCATATTATGTATAATTTGCTTCCACCGTATGGAACTCATTATGAATAAAGACATGCCTTCCATGGCTTGCCTACACATACAAGTATCGGTAACAAAATATCGTTGATGGAGGAATATCCTCATCAATCTTATAATCGACCTTGTGGGGTCATATCACACATAATATATTATTTCCATTACGTGAAGCTCAATATATGTTTTGCTTAGCACATGTTCGCTTATGGAGTTCGTACTATTATGTAAGCACCGGTAACATACGACACTCGAGTGGAGCAAATTATGCATAATTTAACATATAGTCTATTCGTGATTCATAATTTATTTTTGTGACCATGGGGTCTGTAAAAGTGTAAACGAATCGAAACATTAAAAATAAGTAAATTGAAAATATAATAAATGTCGCTTGACATAATTCATTTTACTTCCATCGCGTGGAAATCCATACATCGACGCAACGCAACATACCCGCTCATGGTTTGCGTACACGCATAAGTATCGGCTATAAACTACCCTCTTAATAGACTATAAAGATCGAACATCGAATGTTGACGTACCCCGTTGTGAAGTGCAATGTACGTGGTTTTAAAGGTGTCGCATACTCCGAGGTCTTGGGTTCACCCCGGTGGGGCAAATCATTGTATGATTAAAACAAGCATCTGTGCCTAAGTCTTGGTTGTTAACAAATATTAACTGAAAATCATATCAATATATTCATCATCATTATGCATTTCTATGCGTTAGCCAATAACACAAGTCTTTCAATGCCTATTATGAGGCTAGGCTAATTGGTGTGAAGTGTTGACTCGATCACTACGGTTGTTCTACCGTAATATAGTTATCGAGGACGTGCTGTAATACATTTCAAAAGAAAAAGGAATATCGAAACAATTAATGTTTGAAAAAATTTAGTGCAGGACAGTTGATAAATTGGTTGCACCACAAATAATTCTTAAATAAATTTAATGGTGTCGCATGCCATTCAAAAGCTTGTTTATCTAAATCCAATATATATCAAGCTCCAATCTCAAGTGCAGTACACTATAACTATGTAAAGAATTCTAAGTTTTCTGCAATTTAAGGACTATCTGCCAGATAGATAGATGATAACATATTTTCATGGGTTGCTCACTCTTTTGATCGGGTAATGAGAGAAACTTGCAATATTAGAAATGTCGTGTATGAGGTGTCCGAGGTGGCCAACATGATCATTTTGATATATAAGTGGTGCTATGTACTGAAGAAAAATTGCACGATCTACCAAATTCTTGAAAGGTTTTGAAGATCATTGTATGCAATTATCCACTTTATGTTATTTTTAGTAAAAAATACTGAAAACTGTTCTTAATATTAAACTTACGCTTTTTAACCTTGCCACGACTGTCTGGAATAAATATACTTCAAACCCTACGCATACTACATGCACACTTCATGTAAGCTGTGTAAATCTTATAAATAACTAAATCTTTATTTAGTATTAAGTAATACATATAAATGACTCAGATCTAAGAACTGAAAAACAAAAGGAAAAATTACAATCAATTATAGATTCCAGGATGGCAAATGAATTTCATAAAATCTGGTCTGAACTTCGTAATAGCATAATTTATCACGGCAACCCTGCAACAATATAAAAACTATACCTGAGAATTTCGTTGTAAAAACGTAAAACTTCAGAAGTTGATCGGTTTCAACATGTTTGTCATTCCGTGGGGTTGTATCAACCACTCCCTACTTCTAACAATAGTTATAAATTCATTGCAATCGACCTTGCAATCACTTCCTGCCAATCTAATATGAAAGCTTGGCAAGTATAGTTGAAGAATACGGCTCTACCACTTCACTTCAATCTCCACTCCAATCAAATAGATATGCTAGCACTACGCTTTTTATCATATTTTACAAAGAGCGACAGCTCTGTTTTAAACAGCTATGAGATGTTTGGAAACGCTGGCTTGCGTGGTTGCATTGGTCTAGGAACAAGAATGTTTATCGGAATAATCCCGCAGGTTGTGGACTCGGCTTTGAGCTAACACGATTTGAGACTTATTTTAACACGTGACTTATCTCAAAATAAGTACCATTATTCTAAATAAGTCGGTAGTTTTTACATGATATACCAATGGATGATAAGTCTAATTACCTAAGCTCACCTGTCTTGGCAAACACATAATAATATATTGAAGTCGATTGTTTTAAAGAATCATTTCCTTTTCTTCAATAATGTACTCGTTATATCATAATGATCTGTTTCAAATACCTCGTCATACTAGTTGTTTGTTCTGAACGTCATACAGTAATTATGCTGCGTATTATTTGGTTCAGCATGTGGTACACATGACTTGTTCCTACTTCAAATATACCGAATCATTGTATTTGTACCGACGAAGATTAGTTTTAGCTTTGTTTTGGTTCAAAACAGGTGAAAGTAGTTAAAGACAATCCGATTGGTGACTTGTATCGAATAATGGTAATCGTAAGTGGGACCCTGATTTTTGGTACATAAGTAAAAAGTACAGTATTGTAAAATGTAAGACTCAGTATCGAACAACTTTACATCTTTTTCTCGCATTCGTACGCCTTATTTGTGATATACAAAGATACAAATGAATGCTACACAAGGAAGCGTCCGGTCATTAACAAAGCAAATATATATATATAATTCGCGAGTTTTAAGCAAAGGAATATAGCGATCAGCTAATACATATGTTAAAGCAGCTTCGTAAGCGTGAAGAAATTAAAGGCGTGATTCAAATAATATTATTTGATCCATTTTTAAGCTTACTCGTTTCTTTATACAGTTTCATATAATCTGATAAATGTTAATATTTAAATTTATCATAAATTGTCACATTGGCGTATATATCTATGTACGTGGCGATCACCAGGCGATAACAAACAGGTCTCAATATAAAGCTTTCAGTGACGGTCAAGTAGTTTAATAGCAGCATTTTACCTGAAATAAAATGCATATTAAAATACTTACCTCACTGAAAGCTTTCACTTTAAATTCTGCCTGGTGAAATAATTGAGCCAATGAGTTAATATGGCGCTGTCAAAACTTAGGAAAACAAAAATGGCCGCGCTTCTGCCAGGTGTCGCCACTGGACCGGATACAAGGTGAATAAAAGTACGGAAACTGATGGTAATTCGACGGGAAACGGAAGTGCTATCTCAATATAAAGCTTTCAGTGAGGTAAGTATTTTAATATGCATTTTATTTCAGGTAAAATGCTGCTATTAATATCAATTATATTTGTTATTACTTTTTTTTTTTATTCACGTATAGAGTTTTTTTAAAGTGAAGCTTTTATTACTGCGCCACAAATTCTTTCGTTCATCTTAAGCATGTCGCATTACATTGTTAATAATAAAAAAAAATGGGTGCGTGTACTTATGTAGGCGCGTGAGAAGTTATCCTTCTTTGGCATCGTTTAAACTTAGTTTTTAATTGCATGCAAATAATTAATTACAATAAATTAATAAAAAGCCTGGAAAAGGACACAGTCAATAAAGTTCAGTTTTAATTTGAAAAAATAAATAAATAATCAAAATATTCAATTAAAATCGCTACTGAATATAATTTATTAGAACATATGTGATTTGCACTTGTATGAAACTCAAACACGTATTCCGAATATACAAACTAGAAACATGTGGATAAATATTATAAATATGAATACCTATAACTGTTACTTTATTACAAAAAATAAAGATGTGGTTTTTGGTTCTACCATTGGTGTACAATGGTCAAGAGATGGCGCTGTAGTCTCCTGAATCGCGCTTTGGTTCCGTTGTTCCAGATTAATAAATACTTTTGATAGGCCTTCACAATGCAGTCGTTAGCACCCACTAAATAGAGATTCTATTTCTATGTTGTTGGTAGATTTTCTTAATGTGCGGTAAACACAAAAGTAACAGCATGAAGTTGCTGTTAAAATTTTGTGTAACAGTGATGCGCGCGCATCTTAAAATTTCAGTCTCATCATTTTTTCATGACGCGCCTAAAGAAGTATAACTTCAAAAAAAACTGATCTTATCAACAAGCTTCGGTGGTTCAGTACACCCTCCTACGCGAGCGGGCAGGGTTCGAATTCCAGCCGAAAAGGGACTTTTTTATCAATGTTTTAAAACAATTTCACTTGCATTGCATTGTGGTCGTAAAACTACACTATATTTGATTATTGATTTTTCAAAAGTATGATTATTAAAGTGAAACTTCTTTTCGAACTGGGTGTAAATGGAAACATCCTATGGAAAAAAATAAACGGAAATGCGTCATAAGCGTCACACGACTATATAAATATATATGTGTGTGTGTGGGGGATGCGTGCGCAGCTCTTCCCGACGAGCATGAAAGTTGGACGGTAACTCGGCGAAGGCTAAAACGCTACGAGTGTCACGAGCATGACGAGCGACAGTATATATATATATATATACACACCACTTCGGTGCTGCTTAAAAATGGACTTAATTTCATCTATTATTAGTAGTTAATTTTTAAGCAACACCAAAGTAGCATATTAGCGATTTTGCTTTTCTACTGTTGATATATATGAGTGATGCGTGCGCTGCTTCATACATCTACGCCTTATGCACCGCCTAATGTTAGGTTATTTAAGAAAAGAAGATTCACTTCAGACGTGTGGTCCGTGCACACATTTTTTTATTAATTTTTGATCATACCCTTTCAAAACGTGTTATATTAAATCTTTTCCCCAATTGTTTGTCAGACATGGAGTTCTTAGAGGTGCTGACGGAAGGCCTGGAGAAGGTGCTGATGGTGCGCGGCGGCGGGCGCGAGGTCATCACCATCTACTCGTGAGCGCGCCCCCGACGCCCTTCACCCACCCGCGCACTTACAGGCACACTACATCTAGTGCTCTCCCTGACTCACGGAGCTCGCGGCTCGTTAATCCTTCTCTAATCTTACAGTGCGACAAGGATATTTATGAATGTGAGTGACAGTTCAGGGACGCCGCCACTGTCTACATAAATGACAGCCATACAAAACATAACGTTTACAAAGATGTTACGACGCCGGCGTTGGTTCCAATTTCTTCCACATTCATAAAGATCCCTGTCGCACTATAGACACATAATCGTTCTCGAAAGACTGCCGAGACGAACGTTACGTTCCGATTCGTTCATAATACTAATGACGTAATATGTATTTTCTTACATTATATTATTCGACGTTCGTTTGACTCGTGAATATTAGCTTAGTTCTAATGTTTTGTTAAATTTGCTGTTTAGAATGACGTTGTTTTGGAATTTATTCACTGTTGTATAGGTATATATTGATAAGTGTACGTGTGAATCTAACGAGGAGCCTTAACTGTCGGTTAGTTATAAGTTCGTTTCGGTTACGTTAGAATAGATAATTGAGGTAATATTATCTGATTGGTCTCTCGATTGATGCCATTTCGTTATTTTCGGTTGTAGTGCCTGTAGAAGAGAGCAATTTTTTATATTTGTTTATTTTTTTATAATTTCTTTTTCTAACAATGTTTAAAGAATCGTAGATACTTTGTAAGCATATACATTTATTAAAATGTGAAACATGAAAATTTTTATCTATATGAAATGTATTTTGTAAATAATTATTCTGTTTTAAGATTTTTACATCTGCTCAACTTAAAACTTGCCGTAGGACTGAAGATTATATATTGCTATTCATATTTCTGAACGATTTGAATATGCGAGTGATACAAAACGTAAAAGCAATCATAAATCTAGTCATATTTGACTATAGTTGCCTTCAAACTGCAATGGTTATTAGATATACACACCTCCGTTCTTTCAGTATAGAAGAGTTAAAGCCCTTTCTAGTGAGTACTTATACCTACATAATTTAATCCAATTCACTTGCACGTTGTGATTCTTCAATATAGTGATCCTCAAGGTTTTACGCTGAGTAGATATTAGTTTGTAACGTTGAATACTTTTGAATGATGTCAGTCACAAAAGGTAGTTAATAGTTTTAAAACTGCCAAAGCTTTATTTGCCTTTGTTTTGGCCAAAAACAAAACCTATAACAATGTTAGAAATAAGTATCATTTGAAAGCATTACGCATAATTCTTAAAAAAATCCATTGAACTCTTTTCGATGAAATGCGTGATTCTTCGATATTTTCCTGTCGCATTAACTTCTCATATATTATATAAAATTGTGACGCACACTCGCGTAAGTAGATTATTTCGTACTGTGATCGTATGAGGTTTTCAAACAAATATCGTTTCGAACATCGCGACAGCTACTAGAATATGCAATAAGATAAATAGATGAAGTTTGATGACCGTAAATGTAGCGAGACTGAATTAGAATTGAGCGCTTGATTGTAGAAATTACAGCGGAGCTCGTGTGTGAAATATTTACTTAAGACTGTCGCAATGTTCGCAATGTTATACATTCAGAGCTTTCATTTGCTATTCTATTTGGCAAAGCTGTTTTAGAAACACAGTTTCGTACGGTGACACTTCCTAGGTAATTAATTTCTTAACGTCGTATTTTAGGTAAAATGGCTACCTAAATTTTGAGTCTACTTAGATACATTCGACAACCGAAATCAGTATTACCTAAGTAGTTAACTAAAAATTAAAATTATTATAGGAACTTTCCCGGAATTCGGTGATAAGGCTATATACGAATAGTAATGAGCTCTGAATAATTTCTACAATGATTTTCAGTGGCGACATGAAATTGTTTACTGGAATAATAAATGACACCAAAGGCAATGTAGTTAGTCGTATAAGTATCAAAACAAAATCGTTAAATTGTATTTAGTAAGTATTACATTCGTAGAGCGTCTGTATGTTACATAAACTTGTCATTTTTTTTATTTCCATTCCACGAAAACCTGCAATCAAATGTATCGGCGCTGCCTAGACTTAATTGTCCTATATGTAACAGCTTATCGACGAAAAACTCTATTCCCGACCGGCTGCGCTGTAATAGTATGATCATAAAAAGTTCAAGTATATAAGTATATATTATAAAAAGGGGTGTTTAGGTAACTGCCAAATAGAAATCGGTGTTGTAAATTATCCTAGTCCATAAGTGAGGTTGTTTCATTGTTCGAAATCAAACCGGTTCTTAGATCACAATTTTAATATATAAATAAAATTCGCTATAAGAGAAGTCTAGTGCATGATACCACTAACGATTACTAGATAGACATAGACAATAGAATCATATTATTTTTCCCTTTTTCTCGGAGATTCCTCGATTGTTGATGATTAAGTCTGCACTTTACCAATAATATGAATTATTCTTTGACTTTAGAAATTTACTAAGTTATTTAGACTATCCCAACCGCGGAATAGATAAAAAGTATCCTGGAAATGGATAGCGGGTCAGTCATATTTTGAGAAGTGAGAATGATAATCAATATCGTATCTTTAAGATCTGTGCAAATACATATCGACAGTGGAAAAGCAAAAAGGCACTTTGGTGCAACTTAAAAATTAACATTAATTAAAAACTAAATAAATTTAATTTTTAAGAAGCACCAAAGTGGCTTGTGATTTTCCACTGTCGATATATCGAATCGGAAACCGTCCCGCAGCGTCGAAGCTGCGCGGACGCTGGCACGGCGACGTCGCTCTATAGACGCTTGTGTGGGGGGTCTCTTACACCCACTTAAGCGTCAACTCACAGAGAAAAATCAAGGAATACCTGATCGTCTTTTGTCGATAACGTATTGATTTTTCTGTAACGCTTAATTTTGTTACAAACGCGTGCACGCCCACAAGGCCCATCTAAACTTTTTAATCTATTTCGTGATCCCAACGATGTTAAAATGATAAGAAGTTAGCGCTAAAAGCGTACCTTAACAACATGTAACATATACTTAACCTATAATGAAACAAAAACTCTAAAAACCAGTTCTATGGTCGGCTTTGTCAAAACTACCTAGTTTAAACCAGAATAGTTAGTTGTGAGTTTAGGTAAATAGATATTAGACAATTTCATAGTCTCGAAATTGCCACTTCTGTCTTCATCTTCAGAACAAAACATGGTGTCTAAATATGATAAACTATTATTATGTTGTCTAAAGAATAACAAAAATATTTAACCATAAGAATTCACTTAATGAAATTAAGTATAAATCAATTATTTTACTTGATGTAACCAAGCGGCTGTTTTAGTTTATCAATGTGTTCTTATCACTTAGTGATATATGAATTATCGAAATAGTGGTCACATATCTTCCTTTTCACATAGAAAATTTATAAATCTGTTTATGCCTATTAATAGGTATTAGACAAATAAATTTATTCAGATGAAATTATTGAATTATATTTAAGTATTATACAATTCGAATAATATGTAATATTTACAAATATTCTAAACTAGATCGGAACTATTGCGCTAAAAGATATGGGTCTATTAATCTTGGATATTAAAATATATAACTAAATAAGGATAGGTATACCATCCTATATACCTAATTATAAACATGTATATTATAATGTGGGTACTTTTCACTAACATACCGTTTTCGTTTAACTCCATTGTATCAGGCTAATTTGAATTGAATACCTGCAGCCCAACAGAACAGCATCTCATATTTGGATACCTAATTGTTTGACTTAAATAAATACCTACTTTATGAGCGTCAAACATCCACTGTACATAATTGCTTTTGTAATCAATTAACCATTCGGTACATTAGCACATCGAAATGCTACCAATAACCATTTATAAAAGCTAAATAAAAGCTTGCAATAAAATGATTTTGTTAAGTTGTTGGTCTGTATTTAATACAGGTTTCATACTATAATAAGTAATGCTACATTTTGAAAATGTGCCAAAGCTCAGCGTGAACCCATTAATTAGATTGTGTAAAGACGCCGTGGCAATACTAAGTTAATCTAATAAAATAATATCTCAGTGAGCTATAGATCATGTGTGTAACTATAGCATTCGACTTACATTGTGTGTTAGTGTCACGATAAATAATTGAATAATATAGTAATTGTAAATCAAACAAATGCACATACATAGTTACCTGTTTCAAATAGATTTAAAGTCGTGTTCGTAAATTCAATCGTATGTTTAGCCTTATTCGAAGTCCTTAAAATAATGTACATGCGACTAATTTATTAAACACGACCCTCTCAGGTTTACAGTTAGAGTTAGCGCGCATTTAGGACGCATTTTAATCGACCGATAGTTTAGTCTTTCGTTAGATGTTTCAATCTGCGATATTTCGGTTGTGGGTATGCGGTAGGAACGCTATCTTAATAATTTATGCGACCGTTCCGAATAGAAATCGGGACATCATTTTCGATACCTAGTTCGTTTGGTCGCTGTTTGATCATCAAGTGCAGTCGCTGCCATTTAGGTCCAATCTGCTTCTCGAACCAATCGAATTATTCGATCGACTAAAGAATCCACAACTGTGCTGAGACTATTATGCGAGGTTTGTAGTTCTCCATTCTCTCTGCTCAGGGTGAATCTATACAAGAACAGTGATAATAATTACAGATATGCCACGTTCCTTATATATGTACCTACATCTACATAACTGATAGTGAGAAACTTTCTCAAAGAAACGCGTAGTCGATTCATGGTCGATACCTAATGAAAATAAAACACATCAATCAGAAAAATAATCATTCAATCAGTTTACTACGGTATTGACAGATTAGGTAATATTTTTACCGTCGCATGCGTCTGTTAAAGAATTAATGTAGTAATGGTTACGAGGGTTCGTATTTAATATTTTAGGAACTTGTATAGTAATAATAATAATTACAGTCGTCATTAAAATTTTAACATATTACTAACTATACAAAAACACTATATTGTAATAAGCTCACAAGCAGCGTTTAATTCTTAGGGACATTCAAAATAGCGCTCTACATCCATATTAATTATAATTATTAATCGCATCAGCGCTATATTCGAATATTATTTATTAAGGAACTTAAAAAAAGGTATTTAAAAAACAACAAATAATTTAACATTTCCACTGTCTTTTTACTTTTACTATAATTGTGCGAATACGAGCGTCTTGAATGTTCCCAAGTATTAGCTAAGTGTGCTTTTCTGGGATCGCCATCATGGCAGTATTGTGACCGCGACATGTTCACAACTGTATCTAATTCTGTCAAGTTTATTGATGTTTTACGATTAGATTTTAGGCTGTGAGTCAGCGTAACACATTCTTTACGATTTTATATTCAGGCTAGAGTTGCTGTGATACACCATTATGGCTATAAAATTATTATGTAGTCATTCCTGGCTATGAGTAATCAATGAAAACAACGTCGATTAACGTTTAAAGCCATAATCTATCTGTGATTTCATTGACGTTTAGATACATCATTGTCCGTTATTAATTTTTATAGCTTTTGAGACATTACGCCCTGATGATTTTGGACGATTAATAAAAAACTATTTTACGCCTCATTATATTCTATCCCATATAAAGTTAAAACAGTGTCGTCTGTAACTTTTACAGTCTTAAAAGTATCGAGAACTTTATCTACCAATACTTACACTTAATAAATAGGTATTAACAGGCTAACAGCCCATGGCGCACTTGACGCGGTATGGTGCTGATTACCTTTTTTCATAAATCTTTTATTCTGAAACGAGTTTTTAATAGAAAAAATATTTCGAAAAGTAAAAGTTGTTTAAGAACTTATTAAAATATTCAAATAATAAATCTAGTGAATTAGCCAGTGAGTAAATCTAAGAGGAAGATGTTATGAGTATAATGAAATAAATTAATGATAAAAATAACCAATTGTATTTTATTTACAAAAATCTATACAGGTATCAATATTGATATGTAAACTATATTACAACTTAAATTGTATAAAATATAATTTTATCACATATGATTACCTCAAGTACCACATACTCTTACAGAATACAGTTAACATGGTAATGGTTAAAGACATTCTTCAGCATTATTAATGCTGTCAGTCAAATATTGCCTTAATCCTTGCATATTGAAAGATGTATAAAATTGACTTATAATTGAATATTTAACACTCACTATTTTAAATCCTAATATTTTCAAATGTTTTTTTCTCATGATTTGTGGTCCAATTAACTGTATATTATCTGAACAATAATGGTCAGGTAAATGAAAAAGTATAGCTATATTTACATTTCTAGAAGACTTTGATTTCCAGTTGAAATTGTTTACATCAAGTCCAGGAGGATGAAACATTACATCTATTAAGAATGTTCTATCAGAAAAATGAGGCACCATAACATCCATGGACAGTCTGTCAGCACTTCCAGCTACAGCTTCAAGACTAGGGTACACTTTATTTATAATATTTTTAATTCTACTGTCTTGCACCACAGGTTTGGACCATTGATCTTTTGGTATATATGGACCAGCATAATCATGGGGGCACTCTAATGACAATGAAATGTCTAACAAAGTTAAATTTCTCAAAGCTTCAGGGTTACTATTATTATACAATTTTACTAAAAACACTGGACTAAATACTTTACTAACTAGTTTTAAAGGATATTTCCCTACATAAATAAATGACAACATTATCAAAGAAAGATCGTCTACATTTATTTTCATGTAATTATCCAATAAAAACTTCTCAACCAAATCCCAAAAATCTCTTTTGCCTGAATCAAAGTAAAGAAAGCCATAAGGATATATATGGGACTTCAAAAAACTGGGGGGAATATCACTAATATTCTGTACAAAATATTCACTGCAAGATTTCAAGATATATTTGTTACATATCTGAAATTGCATACAATGATTCAAAATCCCAACTATGAGAACATGGGACTCAATTTTGTCACCTTTTAATTTCATGTATTTCTCAAGAGCTCTTTCAATTTGATCATCTGTGTATTTTAGCCTAGTTAGTTTTGACACTATATCTAATAAAGAGTCTTCATCTAATGCATGAATATTAGTATGAAGCCACCTGCCAATTGTAGCAAATGAATCTAATGATAAATATTTCTCTTCCACAAAGCTGTCAAGAATATGTTTCATTGTGGGCACTTTTATTTTATACCACATATCAGATAGCTTCTGTTCTAACAGAGTCAAAACAATCCTTTTACTTACTTTAAGACCTGGCAATATACTAAACATTGTTGCAATATTTGTTTCATTTATATCACATTCCTTTTCAACAAATCCTACCCATAGTTTATCAATACTTTCAGCATATTTTGGATTTGACTTATTTTCAATAAGAAAATTTGTAAATATGCAGATTTGTTCAACAGTCATCTTGCTATCTATTGCTCTGAACAATAATTCATCACAAAACTTATATTTGAAAGGTTCCATAAACGATGATACAGATTTTAGCACATTTAATATTGTTTGTGTGTCTTCAGTTTTTGTAACAACTTTTAACAATTTTTCGAGAATAGCTTCCTTAGCTAAATAAATATGATTGCTGTTTACATCCAGGGCATTAGATCCTTTCTCTATCTCATATATCCTCTCAATTGCTCCTAATGCAATATGAGGTGTTATTTTTGTACACTTTGATAATAAGGAAAACACATCCCTTAAGTCAACACATTGCTTGAATTCATCTTGTATCAAATCATAGTTTACAGAATCCGTAGCAGTATATTCATTTGCAGTACTATCCTTTGTTTCTGTAAAGTCCTTCAACTTTCGTATCACCACCGGAAGTTCTTGAACATTGAATCCGTTTTCAACTAAAATTGTGCTGTTGCTAAAATCATGATTGTTGTTATTCTTATCGTCACAGTACGTTCGGAAAACGAAGGATAACGCGCAGTTATGCGACAATCGTGGTTTTGATTTTAACAACAAAGGCTCTTTAGCTCGTATAAACGTTCTCCATAACACTAATGCCATTTTTATCTGTGATAGACGATTTTTGAAATGAACTGTATAAGTAGGTATATATCTACATAATAAGCAACTTACAAAGTTAATATTCAGCAATGCAAAATAAAATAAATACAAACAAACAGCAAAAAAATAAAATAAAATAATGATTGTATCGTATGTCAAATAATGTCAATGTCAATCATAGGTTGTCCCTTTTTTTTGTGGCAAGCGCGCTTTGTGTGTTCAGCCAACGTTAAGTAAAAAAATATGGAAACGGTTTACGATAAAAGAATCGGATATATTACAGAAAGGATAAAGATTATAAAAATAAATATAAACATGAAATTTTATATATTTATATTTAAAATTTGATATTATTGAGCATTAGTATGAAGAAGTGTAGCTATGTTTGTCGGGAATGGTATATGAAGGGATAATGCGTCTTTTGAAGGTAAAGATCTATGGAACAGAGGACAGGAAAACACTATGTGATCAATATCTCCCTCATTGAACCCGCAGTCAGACGTAGGATCATTTATTATATTGAGTTTGGCAAGATGGTAAGGCAAAGACGTATGACCCAATCTCATTCTATTTATCATGGACGTCTCCGTCTTACTTAACTTCATGGTGAAAAAACAAGATTTAGAAGGAACGTGATCCTGAATTGCAGCATAAAATTTACCTTTGGATAGTTTATTGAAGTGAAAGTTTAAAACAATATATAGTTTATTGAATTTCCACATTTATTCCCATCCTCAGTTATCTCATCAGTCTCTCGTTTTCATTCTGTATAGAGAATGACAAGGATATACTGCTGTCAAATTTAAGTTTAGGTTTAGAGAATCATGCTAAAATCGACACCATTGCCGAAAAGTAAATAAATGGTTTCGATTACATTTTAAAGCCATGATTCATGGATTTCATGGAATCGAAGAGACACACCACACAAAACACGCATCTGTCGTTATTGATATCGCATCCTATACTGGTGCACAGACTAGTTAGAGATACTACGTATCAGACGACCGACTCTAGTACAAAAAAAAGTTAGCGTCTACACAAGTACTTCTAGTCTTGTATGACATTTACTTACTTTTTAAAATTTTGTCAAAGGGTGGCTAAGGCTCAACTTTATTCATCCATAAGATTTTAGGTACCTAGGTATCCCACTTAATCGGAATTTTTATTCATAATTAAAGGAACTTCAATAAAACACATGAATTATTTATTAAAAGATTTATTTTTTAATTTTTTATTATATTTTTCCAACGCCATTTTTTGCGTCATAGGCAAAGAACAATTACTTAATCGGAAAATGTCAGTGCCCTTTAGTATTTTGTTTATTGTTCTGCACCAATTGATTATGGCAAATTTAATAACTAAATTTACAAAATTATCTATTACCAATAACTTGTGCTCGGTACATACAATAAAATCAAATTAATACTTAAAAATAACTACTTCTTTTATATTCTTGGCTATATTTGTTTCATGTCCTTTTATTTCTAAATATTCACTTGATTCGTTAATTATTGTACCAAAGCACCTTACTGATGGGTAGTGCAACCGGTTTTTAGCTTTTGTATATTCTCTGTGACTTATCCAAACATGTATATTAGTTAAGTCCCTGGTGGTGAGGGAATTTTTGCATGTTGTGCAACCACTTTTTAAATTTTGCAATACCTTTCGTACTACCCATCCAGCAGTATAGGCCCGTGAGTGTACATTTATTTTTTCTCTTCGTGCCTGTTCTAAAATCATATCAATACTGGGATGACCCGGCATGATATCTCTGTCATCAAACAGTGTTTGCAAATTAAGTACTTGATCAGCCGGGTCATCCTCACAATTAAACGTTTCATTATGAAATTTTAGTATTCTAGTTATTAGTAAGGATTTATTTGTGCAGCTGAAGCTGTGGCAGTCTGGGTCATTGTTCCTAAAATTATAGGCTCGCACTTGCCCAAAGAAATTTTCAATAGGGTCAGAATTAAAATATCTGGGATGCATTATCTTCATATTTTCTTTTTTAGAAAGCTGCCACAGCCTCTGATAACTTTTTAATGTAGTTATAAAATTTGCCAATGAGGGCACTGACTTTTCTGTTCCTGTATTATCGACATATTTCATTTTTGTAATTTATTTATAGATTCATTCCAGAATACATGATGCGGTGAATTATTTGTGACCGCCGTTTGTTGACACTTCCCTTTAGATTTTTTCCCTAACATGGAGGCTCCGTTTATGCTATCAAATAATTGGTCTAAGAATAAGACTGTCTTTTGCGGTGTTGTCCAGGGTTTCACTGACGGGTCTACCATCGACATAGTGCGCTAAAACAATATTTTAAACATTATAGATATTAACGGGATTGTTACCATGTACCTTGTTTTTTATGAGTCTCCGATGAGTCTCAGTTACTCCGTGATCATGGCGCTTGCAACAGTGCCGAAATATCGGAGACTCATAAAAAACAAGGTACGTGGTAACAATCCCGTTAATATCTATAATGTTAGTGACCATGAAAGTTTAAAACAATATAATATTTTAAACATCCTATAAAAATAATGTCTTTTTACAAATATTTATAACTTATACTAAAACGCCGCCCCCAGCATCGTACGAAGGCAATGTATACTATAATATATATGTAAATGTTCCTCTTCGATCATTCTTCTTTATTGCTAAAAACTGCATGGAATCCGATGCCTAGATTAAAAGTTTTAGGGGTACATATAGAAAGAGCAATTTTGTACTATACTATCTATAGATGGTTTTATGAGTCCTGTTGTATCTATAGATTGTTTTACGAGTCCTGTTGTACCATGTAATATTATGACCATTACTTTGTCTGTTAGTGAAATAACATTAAATTTATTTTATTTCTATCTAAGATGAGCATGACACACCTTTTACTTCAGTACAACAGAACTAAATGTTTATTCAGTATTATAAAATATACTTACAAAATTTTGCAGTGTACGATAATGCAGCAGACATGGTACTGCTTAATACTTTTACACAATTCTTTACCTATAACAAAATACAAATTTCAATAAAATGTTGACAAGACAAAATAAGTAAGACCACCAACCAGATATTATGTAAAACATATGATATGGTCAGCATCAGATGATTGTACTTTTGATGCTGACTGTACTAGCTTTGCAAGATTATTTCTTTGTACTAATGAAGGAGAACCCACCTTCATTTTCTTTATCTTTTCTGGAATAACATGTTCGTCATTCAATTTATGTAATAGCCTGACCTCAGCATGACTACAGTCTGTTTTGTAGACATCAACAATATCACTCCATTTGGAAGTTCTCCATCCATTAATATATCTTTAGTTATAAAGTTATTCCGCAACCCCTTAATCAAATGACAGGGGTCATAAATAATATTTAAATTCACCCCTCTGATTTTCACAGTGCCATCTGAAAAATAAATTTTATTAAATACAATTTATATATATAATGTTGATAAACTTTTTTGCTGACTTATTGCATAAGAGACTGTTTTGTAATAGGTGGAGGTGACAATAATTCCACTCAATATTTTGACTTCAGTGAACAATGATGGATAAGCAATTTTTTTGAGCCGTGATTCCGACGTCATAAAACGAGTCTCGAAGTGCTTTTGACACACGAAAAGATTCGAAAGCTGATCTTTAGGTAATGCCTTCAAATCATCACGGTTTATACACTTTAACCACATAGTAAGTCTTTTCCAGTTGCCAGAAAAATGATATAATAAAGCGTCCTGTCGCGATCATTTGCACACACAGCACTCGTATTACATCGTAAAAGACGTAAAATACGAATAACAAAAGGCCTAATTGCATTTAAAGTGGAGAGTAATAAGCACAAGTACTTGACTCGATCATACATGTCATGTGTCATGTCATGCTTGTCAAAGAAGCAAGTTCATCAAAATAAAAAAAAAGAAATGTCACTTATTTCCAGTAATGGCGGCCGACTATGATTGCATTCCATTGTATGTAGATTATCCCCCGTGTACTGGTGTTCTGGTATGTTAAATTTGACAACAGTGATGTCGATTCTGGCATGATTCTCTAAAGCTAAACTTAAATTTGACAACAGTGCATCCTTTTCATTCTCTATAGACTCTATACAGAATAAAAAGGAGAGACTGATGTTAAATTTAATTTTAAGTTTAGAGAATCACGCCAGAATTGACACCACTAAGCCTTAGGGCTACTCCCGTTTAATATATAATCAAAGTACGACACGTTAATATGTTTTTGGCTTGAAAATGGAACGTAGCCCTGACAGTCAACTGCCATTTTATCATTTGTCATATGATTATCTGATCTGTCATTTAATCATATGATTTCTTGTATTCTGTGGCTCTCAGCAGCTCTCAGGCTCGCTCGTTCTATCGATGTCGCTCACACCACCACACAACTGTATCAACTAAACTGTAACCACGATCACGGGACTTTTAATTTAAAAAAACTAATTAAGTATCTACCTACTCAAACAAATAAAATAAATAAGTAAGTGTGAAAGCTGTTGATGTCAATCGTTTTAGTAGTGTTACAAGGGTTCAATTATTCGGCTTTAATAACAAAAAATACTTGTTATAAATTGTTTATATAAAAGTAATCAACAATTTGATGTGGAAAATAATTATGCTATTTTGGCTGCTGTAAATCCTGAATTATTCCTGAAGCTCAACCAGTAAGTATTTGCACACACAGTTATTATACATAAGTTACCAAGTATGTTATTAAAATAAATCAACTAAATTAAACCCTGCCCTTGTATTAAAAAATAACCTCTGACTATATGCCTCTGTTATAGTTATCTTGAATATGTTGAAGGATAAGAATTAATTACAAAATATAAAGTATAGATATCATTTATGAATAAATGTAAAATTATGCAATAAAGTGTTTGTAAAGCCCATTTCTTCATCAGCCTATTAATGTCTCCACTGCTGGTGCACAGGCCTGCCCTATGGATGGAATAGGGAGATCAGGCCATGACCCATCTGGATCCACTGTGTGCTTTGATGGATAGTAATGACTGCAGATGCAGCCAAGTCCAATAGCTTAATCACCCATCCAATGACCGGCTATTGCAAAAGTTGTTTGATGTCAACTATTGCAGATTGAATGCCCTATCATCCTGCGTCATCAAGTTCCTCCTCTTGTATAGCCCTCATATGACTAACATTGTGTTATTCAGCTGAAATTCTACTTATTATTTATTATATATATTTTTTGCACAACAATATTGTTTCTAACCAGATCTAGAAACATTATAATTATTGTTCTTGTAACCTAGCAAATATTTGGTGTGTGCTAATAAACCAAAAACATTTGTAATATGTATAAAATTTCTTACCCTTTAATGGCATTGATAATGTTTGTATGGAAGAGGTTGCATAATAACTTCATGAATGGACTTCAATGTTTTCGAATTGTTTTTATTACAATACATTAGGTGTTTAAGTAGTCTAAAACCACCGTGCATTATTGCCTTTTATATGAAACAAGTTTGGGGGACATCAGTTGGATGGTTTCAAAGTCTAATATGTATCTCCTGAAATGTATATGATGATAAGATGTTTTTTGTTTTAATAATGTCCAATTTAGCAGATGTGTAAACATATATTTTAATGATTGTTAAAGTATTGTCTCTTGCCATGGTCATCATTTTTCTAGGTTATGGGGGTTTCTCAATTTTATAAAAAGCTATCTTACTTCCTGAATTGACCAAATTCACAATGTCAGTGAATTGTGCTTTTTGCAGACCCTTTGTAGTTTCTAGTTATTGTTGAAACAGTTGTTTTGTTTACTTGATGAAACAATTTAATTTAAATAAGGAGGTATATAAAAAATACAATAAAAAGTTTTTGTCATTTCACAGTAGGCAAGTTTCACAGGTTTCACAACCTTGATTGAAATAACTATTCTCGCTTGATTGATGATTTAGACATTTGAACTGTTGCAATGCCTTTCTGAAAAACACAACAGGAGTTGAAGATAATATGTGGCTATGATTTGTTTTAAAACACTATATTCTGTACTAACGTAAAGTATATAATCTTCTATGCTAATGTTCCTTTATTCCCAGTTGCCGCAAAATAAGGCAAATGGTAATAAAGGCCACCGTGAAGATTGTCACCGGAGGCAAATGGGAATAAAAAAACTGAAGTGGGGGCAATGACTTCATTCCCATGGTCCCGGCCCAGCGCCGCTGACAGTGGCAGCATCTGCAGTAATGAGCACGCGCCAATGCACAATGTATGGTCCAGTCTACAGCAGCAGCAGTAGGGACTTCAGTAGACTAAAGCTGAAAATAAATCCGTTCTGTCCATCTAGGACGGATTTCACTTTTACCTAATTCTATTTTGACACTGCAAACACAACATTCCCATTGGCTCGGTGAAAGATGTTATCCGGGAACAATATTTACAGTTTATTAACCCATGGCCCCCAATACAGCCATTACCGTTGACCTTCGATCATTGATCGAAATTGTCAACAGATTTGCACCTGTTGCTAAATTAGAAATAAAATAAGGAAAATACAACGCCGGCTGGTAGTGGTACCTATAAGCGCCAAGTAGCAAACTGTCTAAACAGCTAGAGAAACTTTCCAGATGATATCAAAATTTACGAACAGCAAAAGTGTCGACAAAATGACGCTAAAAGACAATTGAAAAAAGAAGAAAATAAAAAACCAGAATAAATCCACATGCCCAGTGTCGAGTAGAGGCTATGATGTTTTAAAAAGTATAGGTTGGATATAGGATCAGAAGCAATGCCTTTCGCGAGAACGAAAGAAATATGATTGCATTGAACGAAAACAAATATTTATTAGATATTCTGGTTTATATCTCTGCAGGCACTGTTTATAAACATCATCATCAATTTCAATTACGGTCATAGTGCGCAATGAAACAAATAGCCATCCTACTTTTGATCTATCAAATATAATTAACCCGTCCGACTAGTTGCCGGCCATATACCAAACCAAGCCTTTTAACAAGAGTAGTACGAGTTTTGCACACTTATAATACCAGGAATTATCTGCTATTAGACATTATTCCAAGCAATTTAATTTATCACATGGCTAAGTATGTGTTTCTAAAGAAGTAGGTAAGTCGCCGAGTGAATGAGGCGAGAACAAATCGTGCACATATCTTAAAAACCAAAGTCAAGATAACACTGTAGAGCTTAACGTTTTATCTTAAACGATAAAAAGTAATGATTCTGTTTTTATCTTCATTTTATTACGTCTCTCTTTTATAAAATGTTAACGGTAGGTAGGTGTATTAGCATCAGGCATCAAATTACTGTTTTATAAAGTGCAATTAAATATTTATGCTCAGTTTGCAGTCAACGTTGCTATTTACCGACCGTCAAAGCGATCGATTCAGGTTAGTGTCTAATTGAATATGACAATTATTTTTATATCTCATAACATATTTTTATAATGCTACAACTTTGTTACACCATATTTATAATATTAACATAAAACATGTTTGGTTAATTCGGGATTTTCTTTATTAGCATGGCGATAGCGTTCATGATTACGTTACGCAAATAAGTAGCTCAGAACCTAAAGTCCTTAAAAAGTTGAATGAAAACAGTATTAAAATCTCAACACATTAAAACTGACTCGCACATTTCTATCATCCATCAGGTAGATAAGCAAAAGCAACCATAATAAATGTTTAGATAGCACAATCGACGACATAGTGTACAAACATGTTCTATGTAGTTGTAAACACGAGAACAAGTAATGTTAGATACCTACATCAACTCATATAGTAACGATAACAATGCCAAGGTTTACCAATCAGATGAGCACTTGAGAATTTTTCTTCCTACTAAGTACCTACGTAAAGGTAAGATGGTGGTAATGGTACTAGTCATTATTCTGACTTCTGTACCATATAATATGATCACACGCAGCCAACCTTTTAAGAACGTCATAAAATAATATAAGTTCATTCTTTCACTCAAACTTACTTACAGGTTGTTATTATGTATGTATATCTTTACAAATAATAAAATGGTAGGAAAGTCAAAACTGTACATTGAATATTTCTTAAAAGAATACTTGGGGTGTGATCTGCAATTGATACCGAAGCCAAAAATATAGTTTATATAATTTTTGTCTGTTTGTCTGTATGTATGTCCGGGATAAACTCAGAAAGTACTGCATGGATTTTCTTCAAATTTGGCGCGAATATTATTAAGAAGTCGGGTCAACATATAGGATACATATTATTACGCTATCACTTACGAGGAACGAGAAGTGAACCGTTATTTCTAACTTACTCCACACGTAAGAAGTCGCGGGCGGCCGCTAGATATATGTAATATATGTACCAAATCTACTTTAGAATAGGTACTTTATTTAATTTCTGTATGACCGTCCTGAAGTCTGAAAAAGATCCGAAACGTAGACTTAAAAAGATATGTACTCATAATGCGCTTAATAAACCGTATTTTCTCTTTCAAGTTTTTTAGTCTTGTGCCTGGAAATACATATATAAAACAAGTACCTATTCATACAAACATCATGTTTATTTCTGCTAACAATTTACCAAGTACGACATAGATATGGTTTAAAATCTTAATATATATAAATCTCGTGTCACAATGTTTGTCCTCAATGGACTCCTAAACCACTGAACCGATTATAATAAAATTCGCACACCATGTGCAGTTCGATCCAACTTGAGAGATAGGATAGTTTAAATCTCAAATTATAGTCGCAATTTTAATTTATTGCAAATTATTACTTTTGGGCGGTACGAAGTTCGCCGAGTCAGCTAGTTAAATTATAGGTCTATTTATGTTTATTTATATTTCTATGGTAGTGCAGCATAGTAACGAGATACTATCTCATTGCAAACAAGTTACAGGTACTAGGTACAGTATGTGTACACTTAATAATCATAAAACAACTAATCATAATTACGTTTAAGGATAGAAACAACGTAAGGTAAAGAAACAAATCATTTAATAATGCATAATATTTTATTGCGGATCATGTCCATATTTTGTTAGTAACAGTGTCACTTAAAAATTAAGATAGTATTATATTATTTAATAATAGCAATGTCAAATCAATTTACAATTACTTGCACACCTGCATGTACCAGTCTACCTGCCCAGTGCTTCATTAATGGCCCGTCTATTTTATCAGCCAGTGTGATGAGGATACTATTGATACTACCCCTAAATCGCTGTAACATCGAGGTAGAGCGCTTACTCATTATGGCGTAAAATCATCCAGCCAATTGAAAAAACTGCAACTCCGAGGCAGCCCCAAAAGCACCCTCAATGCATTATTGAACTGTATGCGCAGTACGTTACGTTAGTACGTTACTACACAAGTACAAAAATTAGCAATAAGCTCTGAAGAGAATCAGCGTCATTTCCTTAGAACATCGTGCAAACCTACTAGCAAGCATATTGCACTGGGCCGCCAACGCCCTACGCTCCCTGTCAAAATCCTGGCCATCCATAAGGACGTCCGTGACCACGTGCCCAAGGTATTTAAATTGCGTAACAACCTTTAGTGCAGTTCCCTTTAATAATATAGGAGGAACGTTAGCAGGTGTATTATTTGAATTGGAACTTTAAAAAGTATTGCTTCACTTTTGGTGGTATTGTACCCTAGGGCGTGAGCCTCAGCATAGTCCTCGCAGACGGTCAGGAGTTTCCTCAATCCACTGACTGATGAACTAAGCAGCACCATTATATTAGGTTAGCCTATTAGGTTATTTTGAATTACAGATGTGTACTCAGCTGAAATGGGGTATCGCCGGCGTGGGAATGATAGCCCACGATTTTTTGACCGCGATGGCGACGCTGCCAGATGAAAAGCACAAGGCTGTGGCCATTGCCGGCAAGGACATGGACCGCGTACACAGACTAGCTTCGCTCCACAATATCACCTCCGAGCATGAAAGCTACGACTCCTTGGCGCTTGATGTTGACGTTGGTATGATAATGCTTCCTCAGTTCTCTCTGACACAACTATAAATAGTCACAATCACATCCAATATCGTGATAAGAACAATCAACCTTCTCGCTACATTTTCTTCATATTAAAATACCATTGTGGTTTTGGTTTATTTCTAATAAATGCGATTCATCACTAATCGATATTCACTTATTGAGATCCTAACTTCTACCTTATATAATTGAAATGCGCTTACGTACATCTTTAGTGACACAATTTTACATCCACTACAGTCGCCCTACAATAAATGTGGCAATGAACTTATACCATTAGCTAAATGGACGGAAAGGCAACTTTTCGACATTGATTTTATTTTAACCGGTAAAAGCTATTTGAGCTCTGAATGGAAACGATACATTTTGATTGACGATTTCTTTAATAAATTCCAAAAAATCACTCACAAATTCATCTCGTATTTGATTTGAACATCAGTAGGTATTGGTGTCGTTTCTAGCATGATTCTCTAAATTTAAAACTAATTTTAACATCAGTCTCTCCTTTTTATTCTGTATAGAGAATGACAAGGATAAACTGTTGTCAAATTTAAGTTTAGGTTTCGAGAATCATGCCCGAATTGACACCACTATTTTATTCTAATTTCTTATTTCCAGACATTGTTTTCGTCAGTGTTTTGAATTTGCAACATTACGAAGTATCTAAATTAATGTTAGAAAATGGAAAACACGTGTTGTGTGAGAAACCGCTGGGCATGACTCACAAACAGGTTAAGTCCCTCGTGGATTTAGCTCGTGAAAAGAAATTGTTCCTCCTCGAGGGGATGTGGTCGAGGTTCTTCCCTGCTTACGACGCTTTGAACGAGCACATATCTTCTGGCGGGCTTGGGGACATCTATCACGTCAACATTCAGTTCGGGGTCGAAATTAACGAAATTGAGAGGAACCTGTAAGATTTTTTTTGCATTGCAGCTTTGTTAACCCTTCGCATTTGTCTTGGTCCATATTAATTTTCTATCTTGGAAGCGCTCTAATGCATTTGAGAGTACATATAACCGAACGTCGCGGAGATGTGAGTAGGTGTGTGCGGTTTCAGAATGAAGGATTTGGGTGGTGGTGCTGTGTTGGACCTTGGGATATACATGCTGCAGCTAGCGCAGTTCGTGTACAAACAACCTCCTCTTGACATGGTATGCACCGGCCACCTCAGTAAGGCCGGGGTTGACGAGTCTATGTCCTGTTCCCTCAAGTACCAGGACGGTAGGACGGCAACCCTGTCTGCTCACACGAGAGCCTCTATGACAAATAAGGCCGAAATCATCGGCACCAAAGGCATTATAGTTGTGAGTATTTTTCTTTCATTTACGAATTCATTATGCATAAAATTTGAAAAGACTTAATTTAAAACGTTAAGCCTACGCTGTATACCCGACCACCTCGGTCCGTCCTTCTGTCAGCAGGCTGTATCTCATGAGCCTTAATAGGTTCACAGATTAATAGTAGTATTCCTATAGACGCAATAGCAATAACTAATAAACATAACAACAAAGACTTTCGATTTACGAGTGTGAACATAATAGACAGATTTTCTTTTCAGTTGGACTATTTCTGGTGCCCCACTGCGCTACACATATCGGCTGCCAACAGCACCGAGTGGACACTTCCAAAGGGCGCGTTTAAATTCCACTTCCACAACAGTGCTGGCCTGAGCTACGAGATACAGGAATGCTTTGACTGTATCAGCAAAGGTTAGTTCGCAAATAATATATGGTCCTGATACTAGGCTACACTGTAGCTTTGTATTATCATGCCGGTACATAATATTGCATGAGCACGCATTTAAATGATCACTTTTTACCCTTGGCAGGATTGGTACTTCATTAGGGATCCGTACCCAAAGGGTAAAAATGGAAACCTTTTGATGGCACTCTATCGTCTGTCGTAACTGTCTCTCTGTATATCACGGGTTTCTTAGATCGTAAAGGGATTGAGTTACAGAATTGAAATTTTAGTATTTTATGTTGATCTCTCAAAATAGAAACTAGTTAAGAATGTAAAATTTAAACCGCAAATACAAATACTGAAAACGAAATTCATAATGTACTTTGTAAGTTGTTACGAAAACAATCACAAGTTTTTGTTTGTTATTGCGGTTTGTTGCGATGTGGATGTTGTGGTTGTTGCGATGTTCTAGCTCGGAAACGAGCTTTCATTCATTAGTCAGTGATATTCTGATAACATAACTTTCTTTTGATGAATATCAGATTTTGATGTTGTTTGAGCTGGTTCACCTGGCTTTCTCCACAATCTTTTCCGATTGACATTGTTGTAAACAACCCATTTTTCATCACCAGTTATCAGTCGTTTAAAAAATAGATCATTTTCATTACGGTTCTTTAACAAATCGCAGATGTTAATGCGTTGTGTTAAATAATTTTCTTTAAGTTTATGAGGAAACCATATATCGAGTTTTCATACATAGCAAACTTGTTTTAAGCGATTTTCAATGCATGTATGTGATACATGAAGCTTCTCTGTAATCTCACGTGTTGTACTATTACGATCCGAATCGATTATTGCTTTGATTTGGTCGTCATCAACTTCAACTGGACGATCAGAGCCTTTTTCATCTTTGAGTGAAAACTCACCAGAACGAAATTATGTAGTATATACCTAGTCAGGTCATAAATTCTGTCACATGTTTAATATAATATAATTAAAACAAGTTTTTTCATTATGTAACCATTTATATACCAAAATGAACTTAACAAAACATAGATTCTTATGACAATAAAGTTTATTCAAAATGCCCTCCGTGATTTTGAATACAGGCCTTCAATCTGCGCGGCCAGTCGTCTATCGCAGCACGAATGAGGTCCATGTCAATATCGGCGGCTGCCTTAATCACGGATGTCTTAAGTGACTCCAAATTGGGACGAGGCTTTGAGCACGCCTTTTCCTCCAAGTGTTGTCATATCTTGTAATCTAACGGACTCGAAATCTGGACTGGAGGAGGGCCAGTTTTCGTGCCGGATGAAGTCGATTTCACGCGCCGCCAGCTAGTCTTGTGTGCTCTTCGCTCTATGAGCTGGCGCCGAATCTTATTGGAATACCCGGTGCCTGTCAGTGTGTATTGAACATGGTATGAGAAACAGTTTCCACAGGGTTCGTCAGGAGTGTATTTTGATACACAACTGCATTCGTTTTTACACCTTTCTCACAAAAATGTACCTCTGTTAAGCCCCAATAAGAAACTCCCAACCATACCATGGGCGAAGATGGAAAATGACCTCGTTGGACACGCGGAATACGGTTGCTCGCTTCTTCACTACTGTGTGCATACACCTTATTATTTTGTTTGTTGTAGCTCTCTTCTACGATAAAAAATTTTTCATCCGAAAAAAGAATTTCCCGATATTTTTTTCCCGCGTACCGCTTCAACAAAGCGCGGCATCTCTTCAGTCTCAGGTCCATTAGACGAGCATTGAAACGATGTCCTGTTTTTCTTCGATATGCCCGAAGCCCTAAGTCTTCATTTAACACCCTTTTCACCGTGGTTCTGCTTCAGCCCATCTGAAGGGCCAACAGTTTCTGCTTACGTTTGGGATTTCTTTAAATTCGCGCCTTCACAGCTTTTATCACTACTGGAGTCCTAACAAACCGAGGGCGACCACTTGTTGACCTGTCATCTACACTAGAGTCTTCATTGTATCTTTTGATGGTACGATAAACGAATCTTTTGTTTATATTCAAAGGAGATTGCTCAAATTGGCCCAAATGCACAAAAAATATTGACATATACGGTAATTCTTGGCGTAATTTATACTTTATTTTACAGTCATTAGATTTTAACGGACTTTTAATTTTACCGGTTTGGAAAACATACGAATCAAGTTAAATTAAATACTGTTTTGTACCTACTTATGTACCTACTTTTCAAAGAATGACCGGAAGTTGGACAAAACCCGAACAACATTATAAATGTTAGGATATATCAAATTAAATTCACACGAATGTAACCCTGTCTACATTAACATGCTAAATCTTTCAAATATTTGTTTTCAGGGTTCCGTACCCAAAGGGTAAAAACGGCACACTTTTACTCAAACTCCACTTACCGTCTGTCTGTCACCAGTCCTCGCAGCATGAGCACTTCAATTTACATTATATCATGTTTTTATCGCGTCTAACTGTCAAACTGCATAGTAATTTGACAATTGAGCGTGATAAAAACGCGTTATATATCATATCGCAGTGCTCATGCTAATTTATTTGCTCATGCTAGTTATCTCATAAACCGCGATAACAGTTGAAAATTCACAGCTGATGATGTATTTCTGTTGCCGCTTTAGAAACAGATTAAAAAAATATTTAAGGACTCCCATAAAGCAGACGTAATTTTTTCCGGTTTTTTGCTCTATATATAATATTGTACCTATCTAATTTTGTACAAATATTGGAACGGAACCTTTTATGATTGAGTCCGACTCGTAATTGGTTGTTTTTTTTACTTCGACCTGATTCTCTTGTGAACAATGAATTGACTAATCTGTATGTGTAAGTACGTTACATAAATAAATATATAACACGACAATCCATGGAATAACCTCGCTGCTATTAAAGCAGGCATGTACAAAAATTGGACAAAACAAATTGTTTTGTACAATTTCGCATTGGCCTTGACTCCTTGACGTCACACGTAATAAGTGTATCGCATTTAATACTAATTGTAATGGCAGGTTTTGTCGTATCATTGTCATTTTGACGTCGGTTTTAGTATTGTTGTTTACTTATATGTAAGTATAGTTACTGTTGCTCTACTAATAATTTTGACTTGCTTTATACAGATAAACTATTAATATGTAAAAAATTACGTCAATAGACTTGAATGTTTATTTGAATTATGTAACCAGGGCGGTTCGGATTTCATGCTTCTTAGCTATCCGCTGTAGAATAAAAGAATGTAAACCTGTTAACGGCCTTGTTTCAGTTCTTTTTTTATTTTTCCTCTTACGGAATTCCTTTAAACTTGAACTTTGAACAAGCCTTTGTTCAAAAAGTTGAAAGGTATTTCGTTAAGAGGCTTTAAGGAACTAAAAACTAAACCATATCTTTCAGATTAGAAAAAAAAGGTTAAAATCGCTTTGCTCTCGTTAATAGGTCGTAATCTTCAAACATCTAAGGTCAAAATCCTTTTCGGGGACGCATTTTTATTAAGTATATTAATGCGGTAAGGATAAGACACTTAACCAAAGATGTAGTAGCATTCTATTATAGCTACACTAATTAAATTAAGTAAATAAAATCTGTGCCAGTGATATAACAAATAATTCTAATCTTAATATATGTGAAATCAAACGTGTTCGTTTGATGTTTTAGGGTGTTCCCTAGAATTAAAAAAACCTGCCAAGTGCGAGTGGGACTCGGGCACGAAGGGTACCGTACAACAAACCGCGAAGTGGAAAAATCATTTGTTTTCTTCGTCACCATTTACAAAGTTCATTATGAATCTGAGTTTTAAGTTTTTGTCGTTTAAATACAGCATATGGGACATCATATAAGTACCAAAATTTCGCATTCCTAACTAGTTTCGATTTTTGAGATAGACCCCGTTATAAAAATGGTCTAAAAATTACAACTTTCTTGTAATTAAAATACAATAAAATTATATTTACATATATCTTACTCAATGAGCTCGAGACCATAATGTGACACATGCACATTATTGGTACAAGAGAAAATAAATCGTGTCTTTTCATGTATGGGACCAATGGGACAATGAAATATAATTTAATTTTTTACTAAATATTCTACTTTGGGCAAGCATTCTACATAAAACACCAAAATTGCAGTTCTGAAACTCATTCCGTTTACAAACTAAAGACCCGTGACATACGGACAGGCAGACACGTGACAGCAAGAGGTTTCCATTTTTATCCTTTGGGTAAGGAACCCTAAAAATGGCCAAATGTTCATAAAGATTCCAATAATGAGGAGGTTACAGTCTGACGACTTTGAGTGAGGACCGTTTAGCTACAAGTGAAAGCAATATTTTCATGCACCACTAATAAGGAAGCCTCATCATCAAAAGCTTATTAATGTCCCCACTGCTGCGGCACAGACCTTCCCTATATATGGAATATGGAGATTGGGCCATGACCCAACACGCGGGCCCAGTGCGGATTGACGGGTGGTAACGACTGCAGATGTAGCCGGGACCAACGGCTTTACGTGCCTTCCGAAGGACGGAGGAACTCGAGATAGAAGATTTTTGGTCACCCATTAAATGACTGACCACTGCGAAAGTTGCTTAACTTCAACAATCGCAGCCGAACGCGGTAACCACCTGCGCCATCGAGCTCCTCAAGGAAGCCTCAATGTTTACTAACTATGAAATTTTATGTTTTCCAGGTTCACTGGAAAGTGTTAAGATGAGTCTAGACGATTCTGTCCTTTTATCAAAGTTGATGGACACGATGAGAGCACAACTAGGAGTCCTAGACGAAGAAAATTAACTTTACGTTTACTTAAAATTTTATCAAATACCACCAATAGCATAAGTACTTACATTATTGCTTTAACTACTGTTATATATTAACAAAGTGCCAGTTAAGTTGAGAACAAAACAATTTGTGATATTATGCCTTAATTATAGTCCCTACCTACATAATTGCAGCTAAATATACTTAAAAAGTACAGTATTTACCTCAACGAACTGTGATTATATGAGTGTTGTGAAATGATTGTTAAGAAAACAATGTATAAAATAAATTCAAAATTTTATTCAATACTTACACTTATTGTTTTATTTTAATACAATACGTTTGACATAGTACTTACATTAAAATATGGAATGTAATTTCAAATATGAAGAAACTAACACCATACTACGTACCATCAATTTTACTGATTTGAATTTTAAATTCGTTTAAATTAATTAATAAGATATTCGTAAACCACCAACTTTTTGGTTATAATAAAACTTAGTAAGCTAAACACTGTTCACGAAGATGAGCGCATACAAAAGCTCGCAGTAACGACGCTAGGGATTTATCATCATTACTTCAGCCAATGACAGCCCACTTTCCCGTGTGTCTAAGTTTCATCCTCCATCCTTGTCTTTTGTAAGCAATAAAAGAAAACGAAAAACCACTAATTCGTGTCCTCGAACAGAGTGCAGCAATAATATTTCCACAATCGCAACTGAAACTAAGTTTTGGAAACAATGCCTGCACGCAGAGGTATATCGGCGAAGCGCGATTTATTAATCGAGACTTTGGTACACCTTCTAGAGGAGATGGTAGAAATATTACTGCACACTTTTTCGTCATTAACAATATCCTGACGAGTCTAAAGCTTTTGTAGAACTAAATTTTGGCTAGAGGGGCATTGGTAGGTACATCGCAAAACGAAGCGCGATTTATTTGTCGAAGCTCTGACACACCTTCTGGAGGATAATGGAAAAATGATTTTGCATTTTAGCGTCATTACTAACGTTTTGACGAGTCCAAAGCGTTTATAAAATTAAGATTTTGACTAGAGGGACATACATAGGTATATCGCTGAAGAGCGGTTTATTTGTCGAAGCTTTGGTATCCTTCTGTAAGATGGTAGAATAACGCCGGTGCACTATATAGTATCGCTTTGATGAATTTAAAACATTTATATAATTAGATTTTGGCTTAAGAAGCAGAGATAAGTATATCGCCAAAGCACACTTTATCTGTCGAAGCTCTGGATCACCTTTGGTATGGAGAATGGTTTAAATATAACGACCCATTATTTCATTTTTACATATGTTTTGACGTGTCCAAAGCGTTTATAGAATTAGGTTAGAGGGGCAGTGATGGTACGCCGCTGAAGCGCGGTTTATTTATCGAAGCTTTGAGACGCCTTCTTGAGGATGGTGGAATAATGTAAGTGCATTCCTAGTAGCCCCCGCGAGAATTGCCACCGGAGGCAAATGGGAATAAATACACTGAAGTGTGACTTTGTTCCCATTTGCCTCTGGGGGCAATATCCGCGGGGGCGACTGGGAAATAAAATTCAGTATTTACGACTATTTCGTAACGTTAACTTTTAGCTAGAGGTGCAGAGATAGGCACGGTTTATTTGTCGAAGCTCTGGAACACCTTCCTGATGATGGCGGCGCCGTCGCGCAGCTGCTGCTCGGTGATGACAAGCGGCGGTGCCAGGCGGATAATCTGCCCGTGTGTCGTCTTGGTCAGCAACCCGGCGTCCCGTAACCGCATCACTACATCGTATGCGGGAATACCTGCGCAATTTGTAATTTATATTGACGATCTCTGTGGTATGTGTGGTATGTACCTACACCGCCTTTCAATGTGTCGTCTTTAGTCCATTTCAAAAGTTTTTATGACAAAAACTAGCTGTGCTCGCGGTTTATTAGGGATATATTCCCGTAGTTAAACGTATCCTATGTGTTAATCCAGGGTGTCAGCTAACTCCATGCCAAATTTTATTATCGCTTCAGCCGTTTAGACGTGAGGAAGTAACAAACATACTATCTCACAAACTTTCGCCTCTATAATATTAGTGTGATAAACATAGGTAGAGTAACCCTTTTGTGATGAGAATTAAGTGAAAGCATTATCGTATTAAATAGATCAAATTGAATGATGCGCCGGCGCTAGGCGGATGTTCTATCCGTGCGTCGTCTCGGTGAGCAACCCCTAAGCTCAGTACTACGTCGTAAGCAATACGCATACGTACGGGAATACCTGAGCAATTACGTTTATTTTCCATCACATTGACCACAAAATACTTAGATAGCTTTTTTATATTGACTATCTCCATGATAGAGTGGTAGGTGAATAAAACTGAACGGCTATGAAATAAGCACAAGTCGTTGTGCAGTACACAAAATGTAAGCTGATGGAGGTGTAGACCGCAAAGGCTGGTGGCCATAAGAGCGGCACGGGCGTACCGGACAGTGTCATATGAGGCGGCATGTATCCTCGCAGGGATGCCCCCCTGGGATCTGGAAGCACTCGTGCTTGCAGAAGTGTACCAGGGGAGGATCCAGGCAAGGGAAAGGGGAGAGCGTGCCACAATAGAGGAAGTAGCAGGCATATGCAGGGAGGCAGAAGAAGCGCTCAGGAGAGGCTGGAAGGAGCGACTCGACAACCCAACGGCGGGGGAGAGAACCATCGGAGCGATTCGGCCGGTATTCAGGGAATGGTTGGACAGGGGGAGGGTGACGCTTACCTTTCGATTAGTGCAGGTACTTTCCGGGCACGGATGCTTCGGAAAGTATCTGCACTGGATCCAGAGGGAGGCGGACCGCTCATGCCATGAGTGCGGCGATGCCGAGGACACGGCGTAGCACACTTTAGAGGTGCGCTCGGCGTGGACTCGGCAGCGTAGCACTCTGGCGGAGACTGTAGGGACGGACCTCTCGCTGCCCGGCGTGGTAAAAGCCATGCTGGATAGCGACGGGGCATGGCAAGCGGTGGTCTCCTTCTGCGAGGATGCCCGCAGAGGGGCAGGGGGGGGGGGGGGGACTGGGTCACGTAGGGACCCTGGGATGGTCAGCACTTCGAGTGCTGAACACCGTTCAACGGTCCTTTTCAGGACCAGGGTAAGAGCATCACCCCACAGTGAGTCTGATCATTGCGATTGGCGGTAGATGCTCAAAAGGGCCAATGGGGGCGGGAGAGGGACGGAGAGAATTACGCTCTCCCTCGTGAGAATCGCGGGTGTGCCCTGGGGGGGGACCGGCCTGCATTGCACAAGCTCTCTTGATGCTGGTGCCCCTGATACTCCGGGGCACCTTCATCGGGGTGGGTCCGTTCGCGGACAATCACCTTGCGGGTGCACGGACAGTCGGCAACGGTTGCCGCGACCACACCCGCACTCCCAACGTGCATTGGGGGGACTGCGGTCCTCAGAATGTACGCCGGGTGACCGGTGCAGGAGTATTGTCTGGTTTTTAGTGGCCCTGTTCAGGGCGTTAGGTAGGGCCCTGCTCATTTCACCCGGCCTAAGGGCTGGCTGAAATAAGCAGAGAGGAGTCCCACATACCTGCTTCTCGCTCTCCCGGTATTTGAAGGATGCGTAAAGCATTTCCCAGACAAAAAAAAAAGACTGTTGGAGGTGTGCGCGGGACGTCACATTATTGCGCTTGCAGCTAACTTTACAACTGCCATAAGGTTTGAATCCGCACTCTATTTACGTACTCCGGTTTTCAAGATATTTTCTAAAGTCCATTTCAACAGTTTTAAGAACGAAAATAAGTAAAGAGGTTACTCCATGAGGCGTATGATCTGCCGCCTACTTTGAGGTGCTGGATTCGTATCCCGGCAAGGGCAAATGTTTGTATGATAAATACATTTACATTGGAGTTGTACACAAATAATGGCTGTTTTTATACATTTCTTCAAAAATAAACCTGGTTATCAAGTATGCTATAGCTATAGAAGGCAAAATAAAGGGCCAATAAGAGATCCTTTGAGAACCCCTATAATAAAGTATTACCTATAGGTAGTAAAATATTTACCGTAGTATCCCATAACAGGACTAGGCTAAGTAAGAGTGCTAGTAGGTAATTCAAAAATAAATAAAATAAAATTCGTATTTAACGACATTAAGAGAGGTCGATCAAAGTGGATTTCCTCATCCTCTCCAATTGGAGGACCCGTCTCCACGTTAAACAAAATCACAGTAAAATCATACTGTTACATCATAAGCTATATTTTAACATACAAAATATTAAGTGGCTGCATCTATCTAACAAACATGTATATAGAAGACACCTATAGATATACCTCACAGATGAACCATACATACGCGTGTTTTCTGGTCACTTTTAAATAATAAATAAACATATATAACACCATTTCTCAGCTGACATAAGATAATAAATAGGTATGTATTACTAATTGTTACGTGTATTGATGTTCGTTAGAATTTCTTATAAAATATGTAGCTATGCTAAATGATGTGATTCTAACCTTACAAAACTGAGTCATAGTATGTATGACAGCGTAGTTTCAAACGACCTTGCAAATAACAATGACTAAATAACTCTCTGATAAAAACTAAATTTTATGTATAAGAAAAGTACACAAGAAAACATTTATGGATGTAGGTATATTATGATTTACAATTGGTGTTAACATTGTATATATGTTATGTATGTTAAATGTCGACTAAGTAATATACAAAAAGGAAGATAATAAATTCTCTATTAAGATTGTTTAAAAACAAAATATCGATAACTAAAGTGATAACATATCAAATGTATCACAATAACAATAACTTATTGTCGTTGGGTTTTCGTCAGATATTGGTTGACCCACCGTATGGCAGAGCGGAGGGTCATCTCATCCTTTTTATTTCGGTCCCAGTAAAAGAAATGCGAAAACTGCAGAAAACTTTTCTCCATTAGGGAACGATCAGACATCTTTCTTCAGGTTTAAGTTCTGCTGATTTAATTTAAATGAATTATTGTCTAGTCAAGTCCTGTAACCTAAATCATAACTAAAATAGATAGTATTTTGAACTTAAAGTTGTAAGTTTTTTATTACGGCTATTTAAAGACATAAATAAAAAAAATGCGATATAAGGTTTTTTATAATCTCTCTTGTTCGATTTAGTTTTTTGATTTATATATATATATATATATATATATACCGAATTACATATACATTTACGTTACCATCCTTCTTGCTTATTTTTATTCTTGTGCCAACGGCTGGCACTCCAGAGGTATCCTACTAATATTTTAAAAGTGAAAGTTTGTATGTTTGTTACTCAATCACGCAAAAACTACTGAAGCGATTTGGATGAAATTTGGTACGCATATAGTTTATGAACTTGATTAAGACATCGGATACATTTTACCCAAAAACAAAAAAGTTTCCTGAGGGATTCTCATAAAACTAAAGTTAACGCGGACGAAGTCGCTGGCGGCCGCTAGTATGAAATAAAGAGCAAAATTACGAATTTAAATTAATGTCTTCGTAAACAGTTTTTACAATGTTTGAACAAAGGGGGCAAATAGTTGATAATAACTTAATATTCAGCTGATGTATTCACAACACGTCGCGTTGTAGCGTACTGACGCGAGGTTGTATTCGTTTTTGGCTTCGTATTTGCTTTGGTCGCCGCACTTGCATGTTCCGTGCGTTCCATCTGCATTTTGTTCTGTAATCTGTACCCTTAGTACGAGTTTTACAATTACGAAAACTATGATAGTTCTTGAGCTCGCACTCGTACTAAGGGTTTTATTGTTTTCGCTTCAACACAAACAAACAGTATTTAAATTCTATCATTAAATCATTTGCGTCTTCTTAAATTTAAAGTTAATTTGGTTAGTTTTCGCCAAGATGTACATAAAAACATTATTTACAATTACGAAAACTATGATAGCTTCGTGAGCTCAAACTTGTACTAATGGTTTTTTTTTGAGTGTGTATGCTGTTGGTCGCAGATGACCTTTACAGCGTCGCCGGGTTTGGGAACGGCGAGATCCTAAGGGGGTCCCCTTAGGATCAAGCCGAGAACGCCGAGGCGAGTGCCTCTAAAGGTATTCCAGGCGGATGGCATCTCCCCACGGGGGGAGTCTCCTCGCCATCTGGAGCCTCTAGACCACTCGAATCTGAGGGGGTCGGCTCAACTAGGCGTCTCTGAGACTCGGACCTCGGCTCTAGTTAGCCGTTGTCGTGGGTTGTACTAAGGGTACGTACGTTGTAGGTTAGAGTACTTACTGTCGTGGACGACCATGGCGAACATGAGTCCCCTACCGCGCACCTCGGTAACCTTGTCCTTGGGGATCTTGCCCAATTCCTCGCGCAGAACCGCTTCCAACTTCGCCGCCTTCTCGCACAAATTTTCTTCTAATAACACCTGAAAATTAATTATGTAGGGTTTTAATTGAAAACCTGAATTGGTTCGAAACCAGAACCCGCGTTGGTACTTACACGTAAGTATATGTGCTAGACCACTGATTCTATAGAACTTTGCTATTGAAAATACCCCACAGAAGACAGAGATGAATTCTATCCCACCCGCTGGTGACAGATGGAGTTAAAACGTTTTGGATACGAATCCTAAAACACCAGAATATACTTAAATATTTTATCACATTTAAAGTTGATACCTTAATAGCTTCTGTAGCGACGGCACAAGCCAAAGGATTTCCGCCGTAAGTCGACCCGTGCGTACCCGGTGTGATTACCTGAAAGGAAATTAACATATTGAATTACTAAAGGTGCTTCTCCAGAGATATTAAGCAACTATAGTAACATTGAAAAATTTATACATCTAATAAAATGGTAGAAAAGTGAAAACTGTACATTGATTTTTAAAAGAATACTTAGGGTGTGATCTTCAATCGATACCGAAGCCAAAAATTTAGTTTTTAGAATTTTTGTCTGTTTGTCTGTATGTATGTCCGGGATAAATTCAAAAAGTACTGCATGGAATTCCTTCAAATTTGGCACGAATGTTACTAAGACGTCGGGTCAACATATAGGTTACATATTATCACGCTATCGCCTACGGGAAACGAGCAGTGAACCTTTATTACCTCCACGCATACGAAGTCGCGGGCGGCCGCTAGTCTTAAATATATTGTTTTAAACTTTTATGATTTACTAACATTATAGTAATTTATGTTATTAACGGGATTGCTACCATGTACCTTGTTTTAGCGAGTTACCGATGTTTTCAGATCACTGTTGCAAGCGCCATGATCACCGAGGAGTAAGTAAGGATGTGTACTCATAGTGCTTAAATATCGGAAACTCGCTAAAAATAAGGTACATGTAGTTATCCGGAAAATAACATAAATTACTTTAGTACTATCTCAAACTTTAAAATAGATACGTCAGATTAAAGACCAACTTTGATTCAAATTTATTTTTGCAATAAATATGGTGAAAACCTTGTGACCCGCCCGAGGCCAAGCGGCCGCGACAAACTACAGTATCTACGGTACCCTTAGCACGAACCATTATCGAATTCGGATAGTTTGCGAGTCTGAAATGTCATTGTCAAATTTTGTATGAAAACTTGAACAGCAGCGCCATAACGTACGTAACGATAACTAAAAATCAGTACACATTTGACAATGACATTTCGTACTCGCAAACGATACGAATTCGATATTGGTTCGTGCTAAGGGTACGGATTGTTTTTTCTGTATCACTTACCGCCCCCGTTTAGGCCTGCAGCGCCCACAAGGGGGCGTTATCGCCCACTTTGGGAAAAACTGCGTATAGATGCTTGCGATACGACACTGTATCCACTACAACTAAATAACTATATCTATTCCCAAACCCTCAACACCGCACAAAATAAGATTTTAAATGTATTCGTATTTTTTTTAAATACTGCTCAAGGTGTGCAGAAAGCTCATGAGATGCCTGGACCCCTTCTTCTTAGAAACTTTAATTATGCAAAAATCTCACTCTGTGTGCAAAATGTTATATTCCTACTCATCAAAAGTGTCTTATTAACATGAACTTTATTGAACTTTCAACCAAATTTTAATACTTATATTGATTTATTAAAAATAACCAATTTGATTTTTTTAAGGGTTTTTTGCTTTAGTCACATAATAGTCACTAATAAGTGACTAAAGCAGAAAACCCTTTGATAGTTTATACATTTCATAACGATATTACTAAATATCATCTGATAAAACTTGTGTTTGTGCAAATCATACATGTTGTTTAAACTTAGATGGGTTTATTGTTATTCTTATTTTTAGGGTTCCGTACCTCAAAAGGAAAAACGCAACCCTTATAGGATCACTTTGTTGTCCGTCCGTCCGTCTGTTAACACCGTTTTTCTCAGGAACGCGTGATGGAGGTATTAAGCTGAAATTCATATCTAATACTCAGGTCTACTGTCCCTTGGAGCTGTGAAAATATCAAACTTCTAAACCAAAGCAATCAAAAGATACAGCCGTTTATGCCGCAAATTTTCGAAACTTGCACGGGAATCAAAACCTACAGGGTACTTCCCGTGAACTAAGAATCTTGAAATTTGGTACGAAATCACGTCTTATAGTACAGATAAAGGAAAAATGGCGATAACCGTAAATTTTTACTAACATCATATAATCAAAAATATTTAAAGTTACTACTTCTTTTCTCATGAACGCGTAGAGGTATTAAATTGAGTTTGTACGGAACCCTCGGTGCGCGAGTCCGACTCGCACTTGGCCGGTTTTTTTTCATATCTATTTCTACTTACGCCCATGACGTCTTCATTGGCAAGCACAGCGGACACGGGCAGAACGCCTCCGCTCAGCGCCTTGCCCAATATTACTATGTCCGGCTTTACTCCGTCGTGCTGCACTGCCAGTAATTTGCCCGTGCGACCTGGCATAACACGGCTAAAATGATTAATGATTATAACAAATTTAGGCTAAAGCTAAAATGATTTTTTTTATGCATAATAGGCAATGCGTTTGACAATCTCGCCTGATGAAAAGCGATGATGAGGCCTAGGATGGTACACGCCTGCCTAGAAGATGCCTGTTCACTCTGGCCTTGAAGATGTCCAGATTACATTGGTCCGGGAAAACAGACCTCGGCAAGGAGTTCCACTCCCTAGCCGTTCGCATAATGAAAGCGGAAGCAAATCGCTTCGTACGAATGGGAGGAACTTCGACAGCATAAGGGTGAAAGCCCTCGCCGGGCCTGGTCATCCGGTGGTGGAAAGGGGAAGGAGGATGTTTTTACATAAGTCGTTTATTGTCATTAGTTTTAGTCGCCCTATCTGTAACTTTTTAAGATTATCGTAGTTCGTCAGACGTTATATACACTAGCCGGGATACCAGCTGCCCCTTCTCACCCCTTAAGGAATGATATCTGGGATAAAAACTGTCTGATGTCCGTTCCCGAGGCTCAAACTATATTTACAACAAATTTCATCCAAATCGGTTCTACGGTTTAAGCAAGAAGAGGTAACAGACAGACGGATATACGTAATAATAATATAATTATGGATCATCGTCAATCTAATAATGTCCCTGCTGTTGGGACACAGGCCTTCCCTAAGGATGGAATCGGGAGATTGGGCCATCCATGACCCACCACGCGAACCTAGTGCAGATTAGTGGGTGCTAACGACTGCAGATGCAGCCGGGAAAAACGGCTTAACGTATCCTCTACAGCACAGAGGAGCTCGAAATACTTAATTTTTGGTCACCCATCCAATGACCGACCACTACGAAAGTTGCTTAACTTCAACGATCGCAGCCGAACGCGCTAACCACCTGCGCCGTCGAGCTCCGGCTTCACTTTAATATCCGGTTTGCTTCTTCCCGTGAGCGGAGAATGAGTAAAGCATTTCCCAGACATAAAAAAAAACGAGCGAGCCTTACAGTAGTCGCGTATGATGTATAACATTTGAAACCTCTCCTTATATTAGTAAAAAAGGAAATAAAACCTACTACAAAAGGAATAAGCCATTTGAACATTATGTTCTAAAACCAAATCAAATAGCGCGCGCTTTCGCGACTTCCTGTTACACACTTCCGTGCCATTTCACGAAATCACTTCCACAAACTGCAGGAAAGCGAGAGGAAAGATGTTACACATCAAAAAAGTATGGATACCGATAGTTAACGTCGCTTACCTAATCCGGTCTGTACTTCATCCGATATCCATAGGACGTTGTACTTGGTGCACAGTTCGCGCACCTTCCTAAGATATCCGTCGTCGGGGATCACCACGCCCGCCTCGCCCTGTATCGGCTCCACCATGAACGCGGCCACTGTGGGGTCTTGCAACTCTTTCTGTAACAAGAAAACAAATATCTTAGAACATATTTTAACCTGAAGTATTTGAATTTACAATTGTGATCTTTCCCTAACAAGAAAACAAATATCCTAAAACGTATTTTAACCTGAAGTATTTTAATTTACAATTGTTATATAGAAGACATTTTAATCCGACATGATATATTGCCAGGGCCGGGCCCAGTTACTAGAGCCTATTATTTCATACCAGTAGAATATATTAACACAGGGTAGCATTTTGACTACTTCTGCTAAAATTGAAAGCTTGGCAAAGAAATTTAGCTTTAAGAACGGACACGAGCTGAGACACATATGAGAAATTGGTATTTGAAAAAACTATTGCTGTCGCGCATTGGCAAAAACCGTGCGATAGGGACAACAGTAGCAAACGCTCAACATTGCGTATATCAATTGCAAAATTCGAGATGTGCGTGTGGACTGAGTGATATTTTCAAAAAACTCATCCAACCATAACCAAATTATAAGAGGATTCAGAAAATAATTGTGAAAACTTCATGGTAAGGTATAAAATTTGTGAAACCTTAACAAAGAAAGATAGAACTAATTAACTGGATCACTGAATCTGGACACCTGAAGAATAAGCCATAACGCGTATCCAAGAATATACTACCTATGTGTTTATAATTTGCATTTGAAATAATTATAAATAATTTGTAAAAGCTGCTTAACAAATTTTCGATTCGTTTTAAAGTCACGTTTAAGATTTAGAACGGTTTATATGGATCACTCAAAATGCGCTGTGTTCAGTTGAGTGATCTGTTAAAACGCCACCTTATACTCAAAAAGTATAAAACATTATCATGTTTATTATAAATTATGCTTCTGGGAAAATTTGTAAAACAAAGATCGTGATTGAAATCTTACTGGTTTAAGAAAAAATGAAAATCTTGTTTTTTCTCGATCATCCCAATGAGGGCTACCGTTTTCTGCCTCACCAGATGGCGCCACTGTTGAGTGAGGTCCTAAATTGTTACTTTTAAAGTTTATTAATACGCACATGAAATCAAAGGTTACATTTAGATCGTATTTTAACACAAAAGAACCATATCCTAAACATAATAGGCCATGCCACAGTGACGCGCAGTTCCGTTTTATTCGGAAAAAATGGGAACATAATCATTTTTCTAAGCTCAAATTTTTAATAACTGACATTCATTGCCACATAACTCACATTTGCCATAATTAAGCCAAATTATTACCAATTATTCACAACATTATTTTAATTAGAAATAAACCCGCGTAGTCAACCAACAAGCAATAACATTTGACATTTCGGAGACCTCACGCTACACTAGCGCCTCTAGCGGCGGATTCATACGCGATAGCCCTCATTGCGTGATCCTTATCTTAAACTATATTTAATAAACCCAAACTTGTAGGTACAAGGTAGTTGCATCAAAAATTGTGAAAAATGTTGTACTAAAATTTGACAAACCAATTGTCCCTGTAATTGTTATATGTAATTAACATATTAAAGAAAAAAAATAGAATATACGAGTTAAAATCCGTAGTACCTACCTACTACGGCAGACTACAGCGTAGTTGGAATATTGCTACGGCTACGACGCGCGAAGTAGTAGTTTTTCTCAATTTAGTTAAAAGTGGTCTAAGCAGTTTTTTTTTGTTTCTGACTAGCGTTAAAATAGTTAATATTAAAAGTACAGATTTTTATTTAAAACGGCAAAAAAGCTTAGGATACTTCTAAATAAATATTTATCATATTCTCACATTTGGTAAATTTATAAAACTTAGTAACTTACAATATACAACAAACAAAACGGTGTTTGCTTTGCGGCTAGGGTAATAATTGGTGTGAGCGTTAGTGTCGCCGCACACGGGCCACCGACCACAACCACAAAACACCGCCACCGGCATATTTCTTGTAGTTTTCATACATTTTATATGGTGGCCACCACACGCTACAAATCGTTGCTCGCTACTTGTGGCCCGCACCGGCCACTTAATGGGCCGATACAAAACGCCGCCACACGTCACTCGCGCGATTCCCCACCCCTCCCGCCCTTACCTTAGTCGGCCGCTGTCGCGCGCTTTAGCCACTTTAGTAGCCGCTTCTAGCTTCTCGTGGCGGCGTTTGTGGCTGAGGCGTGTGGCCCGTGTGCGGCGACACATAGAAATACTTATTTATAATAATAAAATAACATACCTGAAAATATCCAATACATTAGATAAAATAAGCACTTTTGTGTGAGTGAGCTAGTGTTAAGTCTTTCTAGGAGTGAGTTAATTACCTCTAACGCTGGAATGTCGTTGTAGGGTATTGTCTTAAAGCCGGGCATATGCGGTCCGAATCCCTGGTAACAGGAGGGGTCCGTCGATGACGATATTGCTGATAATGTGCGCCCCCAAAAGTTGCCGTCCGCGAATATTATCTGCGGTGAGAAATCCCATTATCACACAAAATCATAAAGTGCTTATCAGAAACAGAAATCACAGCTATAAGATAGATAAATATACATTAAACATAGGTACTGGATAATCTGAAAGATTTAATTGTGAACGAGATAATAATTATAATATTTAACGGGTTTTCCCCAACGATATTTGGGTTTTTCAGATTATATTATTTAAATAACGTGATAAAAAAAGTCGCTCGTTGCATATCTTAACTTTTTATTTGTTATTTCTTGTTATATCTCGTATCACCGAAAAAGTGTGGATAAATCAAGCTTATCAATAATACTTCATTGTCTCTTGCATCGCTATATTCTTTCCACCCATCAGCATAGAGAACTTTTTGAGGGAAACATGTCATGCTCAGTAGTGGGCGTCGTATGGCTAAATGATAATGTTGAAGACAAACCTTTGCCTGTCCGTAAGGGATCTTCTTGACATCATAGCCCCACTTGCGCGCGATCTTGCAGGCGCTTTCACCGCCCTCCACGCCAGTGTTCATCGGTAGCAGCCTGTCGTACCCTAAAAGGGAGGTCATGAACTTCTCGTAAGTGCCCAGTTGATCCGAGTAGAACGCCCTGCGAAAATCCATATCACGATATTATCATTTATTATCTCTTGTAGTTGCGGGTTACAGAAACATGTTAAGTGTACACGGGCGGTAGACTGCAACCGCAGGCGACACTACTGCGGTTAGCTAGATTTTTAGTTTTTTTTTATGTTAAAAGGGTAAAAAAAATCGTAATTGTAAAACTCGTACTAAGGGTACTGGTACCTTACTCACCATCAGAAACACTACACAATCAAAGGGTAGTGTTATTTGACGGACGACCTCCGTGGCCGAGTGGTTTGTACGCCAGGTTTCATGGTATCGCCGACTCGACTCGAGAGGTCCCGGGTTCGAGTCCCGGTGACGGCAGATGTTTGTGTGGTGAATACGCCCATTTGTACTCCAGTCATGGATATTTAATATGTAGTTCTATATAAACATACTTATATATGTATCAGTATATGTATTCTATCCGTTAACTTAGTAACCCCATAACACAAGCCTTACAGTGCTTACTTTGGGGCTAGGCTAATTGGTGTCAGTGTTGGAAATATTTATTTATTTATATTTGAACATGTTCTTCTATAAGGTGGAGGTTACTTCCCCGGACGGGCGCTCCAATTTGAGTGGAAAATACGCTTTGCCCTTCTCTTAAGATAATAATTGTTTTGGTCACCCGTCCCATAACCGATCATTACGAAAATAACTTCCCTGATCACAGACCAAAATTGATATGCATATCCTATTTGTCAAGGTTGCCTTTTATATTGCGTTTCGAAGTAAAAAGTTTGATATAAGCGAAAAGTACTTAAGTACCTACTAAAACGAATGTGTTATTTTTCTCCTTCTGTGATCGCTTTCGTTTCAAAGTTGGGAATAGAGACTAGAAATAATCAGTTGGAAAGTTTTTTTAAACTTTTAAAGGGGACTCCTAATTGTTAAAGTCGGACAATCAGCACAGGTTAGTACGAAAGTATGCCAGATCGACTTACCTAGAAACGAGCGTTAATTTGTCAGCTTGTTTCTTCAGGGCCTCAACGATGCGAGGATGGCAGTGCCCCTGGTTGACTGCCGAGTATGCGCTCAAGAAGTCGTAGTATTTCTTCCCTTCCACATCCCACACGAACACACCTTCAAAGTCGATAGAATAGTAATGTACACAGAAAACTCATTTATTAAAATAAATATTTCCAACACTCACACCAATTAGCCTAGTTCCAAAGTAAGCACTGTAAGGCTTGTGTTATGGGATACTAGAGTAAAGGATAGAATACATAAATTGTACATATATGAGTATATTTATATAGAAATACATATTAAACATCCATGACTGGAGTACAAATGCTCGTATTCATCTTGTGTGATGAATACGAGCATTTGTACTCCAGTCATGTGCCCCCACCGGGATTCGAAACCTCTCGAGTCGGCGACACCATGAAACCCAGCAATAAAAATATCAGAAAAGGGGAGGGGGTAGCTATTTCACCCTTTGTTATAATATGGCCTAGATTGTTATTTTAAAATTAGATACAGCTAGTGGAGTGTGAGTAGATATGTATACTTATTACATTAGTAATGTCCGTGACTTCGGTCACGTGGAAAAAGATGAATTTTAGCCGCCCATAGTAAAGAACAAACACTTTGTATGACGGGGGTTGGTACAGATTTTTTGAGATTCCTAATTTATTTTATATTACCTCCTTACTTTGAAATGCAACGATTTAACATCATATCAAAAAAAATGTACAAGATCAGTACCAAAATGGTTGTTCTCCTTTTGCTAAATGTCAATGAAAATTTTAGTCATATATTGTTTTAACAGTGCTTGGAACTTTGCCGAAATATCGGGGACTCACAAAAAACAAGCTACATGATAGCAATACCGCTACTAATCAAAAAATTTGGCCGCTCATTGTATGACCGGCCAATGGCGAAAGTTGCTAAACTTCCACGCTCGCAGACCGAACGCGCTTACCATCCAGCCATCGATCTCCGTTTTTCCCGTTATGATGGCCGCTAACCATCCGGCAGGACATGCTTCTTTGCCACACTGTTAAGGGTTCCGTATCGGTAAGGAACATAGTCAGCGCAGCGGCCAACTACCTGAGGCCCACGCCCTCACAAAACAACCTAAATATCAAAACTGGGTTTTGGTTGTTGTTAAGTTGTTCCGTTAAGGGCGCGAGCCCGTGCAATTCAATTGGACTATACGTCGAGAATCATGAAAAATAATTGATTTTTTGTGTACCATCAGAAAGTAGTCCAGTCGGAATAAACATGAGACCTATTCTAAGACACCAGCGCTTAGTCAATTTTTTCCTAGATAGTATAGACCCCCACGAATATGCCCTCCATTTGTCCCCGCTAGAACCCGTGTTTTGTAGCCAGGAAAATTGTTTAAACAAAGAAAAACCGGTTTTTTTGAGTTTTTTTGCTTGTAAACGGGGATTTTGAAATTTTTTTTGAATCAAAGTTGTTCATTAGCTTGCCCTCTACAAAATCAGTTCTATGAAAAAATAACGTGAGATTGTTAGTTTAGCAGTAAATTGCAATTATGTCGGTTTTACGTTTGCAACAATTCAACATGTTATAATAAACATTTTGATTTCTAAAGTAGTTTATCATGTGGGTAACGCCACTCCCAAGAGAGTCATGAAAAATTTATCGACCTGTGTCGCAAACTTTAGCAACAATTCTCAATCTCCGAAAAAAAAGTACTTGCCTGTCCCGTCTTTCCCAGAAGGCGCATAGCGGGGAAAAAAATTCAGGTGATTCGATATACCAAGAATTTTGAGGAATCGATCGAGTAGAAAAAAATCGTTAATAAAAATGTTCGTTTTTGGATGATTTAATTTTTTTTTTAAAATTGACGTAGAATATTTTTTTTTTTAAACTAATGTATTTTTCTCTCCTCAACTCGAATATACGATTGAAAATTTTAAAAAATCAGTTTATTTATGTACAGAAATTATTTACAAAACTATTAACTAAAATTCGATTCCAAGACTGCGTTGTATTCTATATTTCTAATTAAATTAATTTCGTCCTTTTTTCTTCCGGTTCATAATCGGAATTCTCAGGGTATATTAGTATTATATATATATTCAGAATAGTATATTCGAGTTGAGGAGAGAAAAATACATTAGTTTAAAAAAAAAATATTCTACGTCAATTTTTAAAAAAAATTTAAATCGTCCAAAAACGAACATTTTTATCAACGATTTTTTTCTACTCGATCGATTCCTCAAAATTCTTGGTGAATCGAATCACCTGAATTTTTTTCCCCGCTGTGCGCCTTCTGGGAAAGACGGCACAGGCAAGTACTTTTTTTCGGAGATTGAGAATTGTTGCTAAAGTTTGCGACACAGGTCGATAAATTTTACATGACTCTCTTGGGAGTGGCGTTACCCACATGATAAACTACTTTAGAAATCAAAATGTTAATTATAACATGTTGAATTGTTGCAAACGTAAAACCGACATAATTGCAATTTACTGCTAAACTAACAATCTCACGTTATTTTTTCATAGAACTGATTTTGTAGAGGGCAAGCTAATGAACAACTTTGATTCAAAAAAAATTTCAAAATCCCCGTTTACAAGCAAAAAAACTCAAAAAAACCGGTTTTTCTTTGTTTAAACAATTTTCCTGGCTACAAAACACGGGTTCTAGCGGGGACAAATGGAGGGCATATTCGTGGGGGTCTATACTACCTAGGAAAAAATTGGCTAAGCGCTGGTGTCTTAGAATAGAAGTCGTTCCAAATTATGGCTATTCCGACTGGACTAAAGATGAATTTCCAGAGAACCAAAAGCGCACCAAATTTATTTGAAAATCTACTTTTTTGACGGGAGATTTTCGATTGAAAATAAGGTTACTTTTTTGATATTATTACAAAACAAGGGGGAAACATAAGTATCTTGAATCGAAAAAGTTAGAGCATGATAATTAAGAAGGTAAGTTTTCACCTAATTTTGCGAAAAAACAACGTTTTGTTGGAGATAGTAATAAAAACCAAAAAGTCATTTTTTTCTCGCAGATAATTTTAGGTTATGTGAAAACAGTGTAATTACAAAAATTGTAAGTCTTTTGATTAACTATAAATTTGCCATAAATATTTTTTGCGATAGAAGTTGTATTTTCCCGAAATGCGCGATAAATCGTTTTCCCCTTTAAAACATCTTTCTGGTATGGGTTTCATCCTGTTCCGAATATTTTCAACTTTTTGATTTTCAAAGGCATCCGCCCTGGAGGTCTACTTTCTTTCTCCGAAACTAACTTTCGGTAACGAAGTTCAAACGGAAGTTATTTTCGAATAAGAAACATAGTAAGACGTGCAAAGTTTCGATCGAAATTTCGATTTTTGTTGAAGGCCTTATTCGCAAACTTTTTTGATATTTACTGTGTGCAACTAAGAGAAAATTGCATATCTATCGATGCTTTTCACAACAAGTATCTTAGAGGCGTTATAATACATAATAATATTTATTTATTTAATATTTATTTATTGTCACGTAATAAAGCAGTAATGGATCATTTAATACCTCGGTGATTATTACTTCCATCTGTCAAAAGCAGTTAGCGAATAGGCCTATGGTCTATAATCGAAATACGTTAGTCTTTCTTAAGGCTCAAAGAGGACAATAGTTCCGGACAATCCACCTTTCCTCTAGCGATGTTCATTGGAAGGTAATTATCACTTATTAATTATTCTATTTTCTAACGACAGAAAATTATACTTTTTGCATCTAAGCATAATCTAAAGAAATTTGATGCGTTTATAAATCCAAATATTTAAGGAAACTTTTTTGTATTCTTTCGATGCTGTTAAAATAAATTTCATATTGAGGATTCCAATCTCGGGATATCCGATTTTCATGTCACTACGATCGTAGGCACTATTTTATTAGTTTCAACAGCAGAAACAACAATAAGAGAAATTTTTAATTTTTAGCGCCACTTAAGAGCATAGGCCTTCCCATAAGCGCGTTATAATCGGTCAATAATATCGTGTGAATTATTGCGATATCTGTTTTTATTATAGTACATTATGTATTAAAACGGCCACGGAGCTATACACACTAATGCAATACTTACGACGCATTAGAAGGAGAGCGCATTATCGCAATAACCACAGAAATATTTCTGTAGCAATAACGCATCCCATACTATCGACCGATAATAACGCGCCTATTGGCGAAAGCTTCATTTTTGTTACAACTTGCCAAAGTTTTTTTTTATTAAAAATATAATATAATGGCTTACCTTCGCCTCTTGAGAGCGCCACCGGCACAGGAGCATAATTTCTGCATCCAAATTTGTCCTCCAATGCAAAAATATCTTTCGACGATAGAACTTTTTGGTCTGCCATTCTTGAAAACAATTGATAAATGAATTAATCAATAATTATTTAGTCACACAATGACTATAATAAAACAAACTAGTGACATAAGACTCATGAAAAAAAAACTTATTTTTATTGATTGCAGAATGATAACTAAAACTTTGTCACTGATACAAAATAGTGATTTTTGTTTTATATTTTACATATTTTATGAGGGTATTCGAAAACAATACCTAGTTACTTTATTGATCTTAATCTGCCTTATATCGGGAACCTCAAATATTATTTATTAAAGTAAGTAATAGTGTAAGAAATGGTCAGAGACGACGTCACAATTGCGAATGCGAAGCAGTGCTCTTGAACTTGTTATTATATAGGCAGCATATCAATCAATGAAGTTTAGATAGTGAGTAAGAACAATTATCCAAGATTACAATATGAATGGAAATATTTAAATTTAATGTTATTTAAACTATAGTACAAAGAACGAACTCAATAATAAGGTCTACAAAATAATTAACTAAGTATAAAAGTACTAAAAAACAATTAAAGAGGTACTTTATCTTAACACAGCAGTAATTAAAAGCATATCCATAATTGTAGCTGGTCGGATTTAAAGAGACAGCCCGCTATTTATAATTTATTATCATAACAATTTGAGGTCAATGTGACATAAATATAGTATGTTATTTCATCAATAACTAACTATACCTACAGATAAAGACAATAAATTAAAAATTATCTTATGTGATAGACAAGAATTGTGATCAAAGAATAATATTGAGTTGTTTTATTTTTATACTTACTTTTGCATATTTGTTATAAGTGGTTGAAGTGGTGCCAGTATGTGTAGATGTGGTCGTATCTAAATTTATTCTTAGACTGACGTGACGTCTTCCTAAGTCGGCGGAAAAATACTAGGCTGAGCAGCTGTTCGCGTAGATTAGTTATCACTATGAAAGAGATGATGACGTGTTCCTCCTGCTCGCAACATGGTCCAGTTGCCAAATGTATCTCTTTCTCACTGACCTAATAAATTACGACTTTTTTCTGATGTTCAGTCAAAAGTTCAGCTCTCCTAAGGATTTGCTTCCATTACATTTTACAAATGAACTTTTCTTTTGTTGTTTTTCCTTATTTTTTTACATGTACTTAATATGCAATCAATCATGGCTTCGTGGTGGGTGGATTATTATGTATAACCGTGACCCTGTGAATTATAGATTTCTTAGCCAAAAAGATTTTGCTTTCGGCCGTCCCACCTTTAGGTTAGTGCAAACGAGCAACAACTTATTATAAGATTTTTTAAAGTTGTAATTTTATCACGTATAAATACAAAGCATCAAAAGTTTGGCTGACTCTAATTCCTTTTCCCACCTCAACTACTACCATTGTCACACTGGTTAGTTATTGACCAGCAACGCATTAATAAATATCTGTTAATACACACCTAACATTGATCCAAGATTAGTAAATATAACGTAAAATAATATTCTACATTTACCCTACTGGGCAACAAATCCGAAAGGTCAAAAATTGTGATAACCTTTTAGACCAGGGTCGATAATTTTTGAGATGATTTTTTTTTGGAACAGGATATAAACCTTACCAAAAGGAAGAGAACACATTAAAAACACAGAAAAAATAAATTACGGGTTAATTGACGCCGGGGAGGGTGAAGGTTTTAGGAGGGAAACGGCTTATCGTGATTTTCGGGAAAACTTAACTTCTATCAGAAAGAAAACTATTGCAAAAGTCAAAAGATCTACAACTTTTGTTTTAACCTATTTTTACATAGCTTAAACATATTTCATTCATTATAACCCACTTTTTGTTATTTTTAGGGTTCCGTACCTCAAAAGGAAAAACGGAACCCTTATAGGATCACTTTGTTGTCCGTCTGTCCGTCCGTCCGTCCGTCTGTCAAGACCCTTTTTCTCAGGAACGCGTGGAGGTATGAAGCTGAAATTTATATCAATTACTCAGGTCTACTGTCCCTTGAAGCTGTGAAAAAATCAAACTTCTAAGCCAACGCAATCAAAAGATACAGCCGTTTATGCTGCAAATTTTCGACACTTGCAAGGGAATCAAAACCTACAGGGTGCTTCCCGTGAACTCAGAATCTTGAAATTTGGTACCAAGCAACGTCTTATAGCATAGATAAAGGAAAAATTACGAAAACCGTAAATTTTTAGTTACATCACATAATATATTTTTTTTAATAATTTTAACCTTACTACCCATTTCCTCATAAACGCGTAGAGGTATTAAATTGAAATTCATACCAAATACTCAGGTTTAATATACCTTTAAGCTGTAACAAAATCAAACTTCTATGTCAACGCAATCAAAAGAAACAGCAATTTAAGCTGCATATTTTGAAACTCGCAAGTACTCGCAAGGGAATCAAAACCTAAAGGGTACTTCCAGTCGACCTAGAATCTTGAAATTTGGCATGAAGCAACGTTTTATAGCACACATAAAGGAAAAATTCCGAAAACCTTAAATTTTTAGTTACATTACAAAATATATATTTTTTAATAAATATAAACTTATTACTTTTTTCCTCATGAACGCGTAGAGCTATCAAGTTGAAATTCATATCAAATACTTAGATCTAATTAAACCTTTAACCCGTGAAAAAAAAATTCTAAGTCAACGCAAAAACGCAAAACGCAAAAGTACAACCATTGATACCGCATATTTTGAAACTCGCAACTAATGTCGTAATGAACGAACTTTGTAAACCTTGCAGGTTTGTACGGAACCCTCGGTGCGCGAGTCCGACTCGCACTTGGCCGGTTTTTTATAATTATTTCCCATAATTTGAATATATTTCACAAAATTTAGTGAAAACTTGTCTTCTTATGTCCTAAACACGCTCTAATTTTTACAATTCAAACAAAGATTTTTTTCCCCCTAAGTAACTATAATAAATATTATATCGAATTTTATATATTATTATAATTTTTTTTTTGTTACTTTGGTGCGCTTTTTGTTCTTTGGGACCTCTTCTTTTTGGTAAACAAGATTAACATTACTATAATTTGTTTTTTCAGAAACTACAAATGCGTCGTCACGGCTCTCGACCTTTTAAGTGTCACAGAAAAATATAACTTCTATCGTTCGTAAGTAAGTTTTTTATAGAAACCAAAAGTTGGTTAGTTGATTATTCGCAGAAATTGTTAGGTTATGTGGAAAACATTTCGATACACAACACATCGAAAAAAAGCCCGCACTTAACTTATTAAAAAACAACTTTTTTTAAAGTGAGATTTTTCGATTGTATAAATTTGGTTACTTTTTCGGTATAATATCAAAATTAGGGGAAAAATCTTCGATCAACAATTCTATAGATAACGGGTTGCATACACAATCAAAGCTGAAAACTGTCCGCGTATGTTTAAACCTATCCAGCTACATTCGATTCCCGATGAACAAAGACAATTTTTTAAAACAGTTTAAGTTGAACCTAATAACAACTATCAAGGGCGGATCCAGGGGGTGGGTCAGGGGGGTCATGACCCCCCCTGGGCTGGGTCCATCTGTACCCACTTCACAATCTGTACTTCGCAATCTGTACCCACTGTGACTTGACCACGACTATATGACCCCCCCTGGCGCCAAAGCTGGATCCGCCCTTGCAACTATCTCACAAAGGAATAAGGTTACAAATAAAAATATGTATATTATTTCGCACATACGACCTTTTATCTTATAAAACGAACAAGGCAATTTAAATAAATATATCTGATACTTGGAAAAAACGATAAAGGTGAAAAAGGAAAATGTGAAATCAACCTTATGACCCACAAAATAAAATATTTTTACCAGTCATCGGCCAGCAACTTATTTCGTTTTGTATGAACCGAACTAATTTAAAATAAGATCTCACGCCTCAAGTGAGGCTATATTCCCGGAGACGGATTTTATGCGCTGCAGTGCTATTCTGCAAAATTTTCACGGGGGTTCATGCTTTTACGAATATTTTACACTTTTTACTGTTTTCAAAGGCATCAGCCCTTTTCAATGATTCCGAATAAGACAGAAGCGAAACACTAAGATCAGAGTCCCACGGCTTTCATCAATGAAAGTAATCTAGGTTTTCTAATCAGAGAAAGTGAAATTATATTTGATTTGTCTTTCCGGGAGGGGCGGGGGGATCTACTCTAACAAAAATTTGCAATTTAAGATTTCACAAACGGATCTCTAAATCAACAAATAGTCTGAGTTACCCCTAAGTTCTTTTAAGTGACCTATTCAACGATACGCCACACGATGTAGCTACCCTTTTTTTGTGTCTGGGAAATACATTACGCATCCTTCAACCACTGGGGGAGCGAGAAGAAGGTATGTGGGATTCCTCCCTGTCCCCTTCAGCCAGCCCTTGGGCTCGCTGAAGTGAACAGGGCCCTACCGACGCCCAGAACAGGGCCACAATAAACCAGACAATACTCCTGCACCGTCACCCAACACGCACTATGAGGACCACGGTCGTGCGTGCCGAGAGGGCGGATTTAGTCGCGGAACCCGTCTCCGAATGGCCGCGCAGTGTAGGGGCTACCCTAAAAAAAGGATTTTCCCAAATTTATATGGGACCAATTCCGGAGTATACCCTTTCCAATCAAAAAATAATTATTAAAATTAGGCTTCCCTGTAACGTTATGCGTGATCAAACGTAAAAACAAATACGCGTCGACTTGATAACCCCCTCCGTTTCTACACAATGGAGACGTTCGATGGCGCATTTCAGTTGTTTAAGCGTGAAGAGGTAACAGACAAACAGATATACTTTCGCATTTACAAATATAAGTATGGAAATGTAAAAAAATATGCTCAAACCCGGCTGCAGCGTCAGGCATTGTCCTAATACAACGCGATAACACGATCATCGCGCGTTTAAACGATGCGACCATCGCGTGATCGCGAACTGGGTGTCCTAATAGAACGCGAATACGCGATCACGATTGACACACAGTTTGGTCGGGTTAGCCCTGCCCTTCTCCCCGCTTCCTATCGACGCGACGCGAT